TAATTGGCAGTTCTGAACTGTCTCTACTAGCCCTATTCCGTACTATAGTGGATATTCCTGGCATACGTGTCTTATATAAATATATATACGTACACCGCAAAATTCACACGTTTTTGAGATTGTGTATGATAAAAAAAACACAAATATTAAAGAATAATCTAATATCAAATAAACAGAAGGGGTGAGGCTTCGAATCCAGACTGGCTAGGCCCACTACCTTATGAATCTAGTCGGAAAACTTTCGGGTGTTTCCAAGATTGTGTATGACAAGGCGTGTATATATGAAGGTGTTCTTCATATTTCTAACAAAAACATCCAATGTTTGGTAGCTTGTTCAAAAGAAAAAAAAATATAACCACTCGTTTCTCAATGATTTAGCTGATGATGTCTTATTTTGAACACGAGAATAATGTCAAAACACGCGGATAAAATTGGAAGGAATGCTGCAGGCAGGACAATTGAAAAAACAAAGAGAAGCAAAAAAATTGGATCTTAACTTTTAGTGATGGAAAATGATCTTATTGTGTCCTTGTGCTCCGAAATGCCGTATTGTCGCTCCTCTTTGATGCTGATCAAGTGACGATGCATTGATGCACATGTACTCAGGAACTTAATAGTAGTAACAGTTAACCCCAAGTACAGTCACATGCATGCATGTAGCCAATGATGACACAATATATAGTAAACAAATTTATATCGGATCGAGCTGCATTTCCTTAACATGAACTCATCAAGTTATTGATAAGTACATCAATTATTTTGGCTACAACTAAGCATAGGTACTTACTTACAAGCTACGAATTATGATAGGAGTTAGTAGTAATAAGCATCTGCCAACCATCTAGGCCATTCCCAACCCAAGACACTCATACTTTCTATAAACTCCACATCATCAAGAAACTAGTACTATACACTACTCTTCCAATGCAAACACCATTATTCCATACTTAAATTCAATACTACTTATCTCACATGATGTCTTGGATGTTGTGTGGAAACTATATCTCATGCAAGACATGGTTTCCTTCTCTTTTCTTATTTATTCACTTGTCACATCATTTTTTATCCTATGTGGCAGCTTATTTAATGCTATGAACACAATTCTATTCATTGAGTTGGGAATGGCCTTATAATACATTCATCTGAGTGATGATGTGGTGTCCGGTTAATTAGTGGGCTGATCTAAGACCATAGTTGACTCCCATTGAGCACATGATTGGTCGGTTGCTTACGCTTGATTTATACTCGTGAAATTAAATAGAGGATGTCTTTTAATTAAGGAAAGAATAAATTAAATAAAGGATGGTTGTGATTAGTTAAGATAAAAATAAGTAGAGAAATTAAACAAAAGATTATTATGAACTTTTGATTGGTAGAGTCAGATAATTAAGTTGGTGAAGAATCAAATATATATATATATATATATATATATATATATATATATATATATATATATATATATATATATATATATATATATTCTAAGACAAATTTTAAACGCTACATGTAATTAACTACTTCCTCCGTCCCAAAAAAATAAACCTTAGCCACAAATACGTGACGTATCCTAGTATAATGAATCTTAACAGATTTATGTTCGGATTTATTGTACTAAAAAATATCATGTCTATATCTAGGTTAGTTTTTTCTTAAGGACGGAGTGACTCTTATCAAGGAGTTCTAGAAAAACTACTCCTTGTCAAGACCTAACATAATACATATATGTTAGTGATGAGTGATGACCCTAATCAAGGCTAACTGTACTGTTAAGCTGATCCTCAAAGTTAATGCTAACACATAAATTATATAGGGATCATCATAAATCATAATCCAACCTACTCCTATGTGATTATGTTCTGATCAAGTTGATGGTGCAGGACACCGTACAAAAGCTACTCCAGCTGGGTGTGCCTGTAGTGGCATGGGACGGGAGGTAATTGCACATGCCATGCACGTGCCGGACACCATGTGAAGTACGGATCCAGCAAAGATGCGTACCGAGAAAGATTCAGAAAAAAGCTATCGCCAAAGTTAATTTCTCTTCTGCAGAGACAGAAAAAAGAGTGAGCACTTGGTTTCCAGCTATGCAGGCATACGGATACGGTACACTTGAGCGTATAGAAGTACTGTAGACACGTTGGCACGGCGTGCAGTATATATTTGTAGAGTACAGTATACAGGGTATACGTACTGTGGCTGTGTTTAAGTTCAGCGCAAAGTTTGAATTTTGGTTAAAATTGAAGATGATGTGACTGAAAAGTTATGTGTGTATAACAGATTGATGTGATGAAAAAAGACTGAAGTTTAGATCTAAACACAGCATGTATGTGTGCGCGCGCGCAGTATTTAAGACTACGACTACGTGTCTACGTACGACAGCCATGCAGGCAATGCAGGCAGTACATACACAAAATGACAAAAAGAAGTATCCAGATAACGAATCATGGTTTTAGGCCTTTTGACAAACATAAGAATTGAAGTAGAAAAAACTATATAAATTTAAGTATTAATTAGGTTAGGCTTGAATTTATAATTGTGTAGATTAAACCTTATAGATACATCAAATATATATAACTGTGTTTAGAGTATTAAGAAAAGTTTGTACAATAAATTAATTTGAGTATAACCAAGATCCGTACTATCTCTATAAAAAAAATCAATCTAAAAGGGATATGATATAATTCAGTCCAGTACTGATTTATGTCAAGGCCTATACTGAGATATAGGCCTTTTTTTCCTTACAAATGGAGTACGTGTAATTCGCGCGTGAAAATGAAGTTAGATTAATGGAATAATCCATACTAAGCAAGCATAGATCCTGCAGTGTTTTTGCTAACTAATTAATTAAAATTGTGGTTGATTAATAAAATCTATCAAGAGTTCAGACGAGGCGCTAATCACTTAATCAGCAAAAGAGATTAGGTATAGTAGACTCAAGTGTGTGGCGTGAACTGGTCATCATATAGCCAGATTTTGGTATCTGGTAGCTCATTGAGGCAACTTGACATGAGCTTAATTTGTTGCAGTTATGTCCTGATCTGTTCAAAGCATCTAACATATGAAATGGTTTCGTGGATGGAGCCGTGAGTGTTATCACTTAATTAAATACTACTTCAATCATGTGTTTTCGTCTGATATGATGGGAATTCAAGGTAAAATCCAAGTTGCCAACTTTGTGTTGTCCAGTAAAAGCCACAACAAAACGGTTTGAAATTTGTTGTCAAAATTGGCTGTTTTCATGAACGTGGCGATGTGGACGTGATCCACACTGATCATGCAGGCATGTTGACTACGGAATTTGATAGATCATTTCTTTCAAAGAGAATTAGTTAGATCCTTGTTTTGTTCTGCTTTTTTTTTTTGTTTCACGTCTGTGTCTTTGAAATCGATTGAGTTGACTAATGACTTGTTTTCTTCAGCTCATACCGTATGAAACTATCAGTTCCGCAACACAATCACAGCAGGAAAGAAAGATATGTTAATTGCCTTAGAAACATTCTACTTTAAATCCGATATTTTTTTTCCATTTCATGTGAAATTGAACAATCTCATATGAAACTCCGCTAACCGATCAGTACCGAAGTATAATCCGCTATAATTGTTTTTACCGGACGTTCAAAGCTCGATCGATCAGCATTCAATTTTCTCGTTCAATATTTCTTGGTACGATGAATTGATTGTATATATAATTAACTTCCAGCTTCCTACTCTAACCGAAAAGGGTGGCTGCCTACACGTGACACGCATCCCAAGTCACATACACGTATAATCCACACAAATCCATTAATTTGCCCACAGCAACTGGTGAGTGTTGTTTGACCGTCCATCTAGGAGTACTACAGTGTGGTCCTGTTTCCTGACAACATCTCCTAAGTAGTTCTTTTTTTTTCGATTATCTTCGGACCTTTTTACTTTGATGCTATTTTCAACCTTATTAAATTTTGGCAATACAAAAATTTTGGTAACTATATCAAAATTTTGGCAACTTGACAAAGTTTTAACAGGATTTTTTATATAGTTACTAAAATTTTACAGCAAACTAAATGTAGCCATTTTTTTTGGCAACTATACCAAATTTTTTTAGTAAAGTTGAAAATGGCATGAAAGTGAACAGACCCTTTATCTGATTATTTGATGTAACAACGCAGCAATGTTAATTAATACACGTATTAAGACTAGGCATGATAAAGTAGAGAGTTCAGAATTTGACAATCGACATGGACTGGTCCAACAAAAAACCTTGATTAGTTACATCAAGATCACGTCTATTTCGGCCAGTTCGTTTAAATTTAAATAAACCCGTTGCACCTGTCGCCTTCAAGGTACCTGGAAAATTCAGAGCCGCAATTTGGATGCAGAAAGCCAGAAATATCACCAGTGTTCAAACTTCTTTTTTGCAGTATTAATTAGTGAAACGAGCAAGGCAAATTCACTGGAGATGAGCAGTATAACGAGTAGTAGTTCTTTTTCACTGATACGGGTATTAATACTAATTTGAGGTATAACGAGTAGTTCTTTTTCACTGATAGCAGTATAACGAGTAGTTCTTTTTCACTTATACGGGTATTTTTCACTGTTTAGATTAGCCTAAGGGCCTCAAATTAGTCCCTCCTATCTAAACAGGACCTAAGTTTTTTCATACACTCTCCAGTTATAAATATTTGGTTAAGATTTCAGAATTTTAACCAAATATTACCATAAATTTCAAATATTTATAACTGGATGGAGTAGTTTACACTAGTAGCTTCGGCTTTTCGGCTAATGCGTGATAAAGCTGGACAGTAGCAGAGGCTACAGGGTACAGCTCAAAAATGAAAAAGAAACACCTCACCCAGTATCCCACTGTTAGTGGGCCCACATGGGATGGTCAGGCCCACGTGAGATTCGGCCCATACTCATCATTAGCTCCAGGAAACTTCTGGGCAGAATTCTTTGTTGACCCCAGAAACAAGGTTAGGAATTTAGGATAGACTAGGAATCTGCTACATGAGCAAAACAGATCAGCAATTCGACACTTGTTGAAGTAGACTTTTTAGTTATACCCCATTTTGTTCAAGATTTGTTCTCAAAATATATGAAAAAAACAGCAAAATACAAGGAAACATAAAGCAGTAGACTCCATATTCACTGCTATTACAGGTATTACTGATTGTTAAGCTCCACAGGACGGAACACAGGCAACAGAAGGCAAACAAGCTGCCATCAGCCATGGCATCCTACTGCGAGACACTGGTCTGAAGAGGCAAAGCGCTCTCGACTTCAGCTTCTTTTGCTTCAGCGGAACGCTCTGCGACAACCTTTGACATCCCAAACATCTGCGATGCGAGGTATAGAGCGCAAGAAACGCTTGATTGTCAAACAAGTCTAAAATGCAGAAAGAGTAACGAGCCGAGTATCTGAGTGTTAGCACAACTGACCTTCTGGATGGTGTTTTTGAAGCAATGCTTGTGCTCATCCATGGAGGCATGGATGAACTCGTCGATATGGTCTTTCAGATCTTCGAGGAACGTAGCGTCGTCAGACTTCTTCTTCCGACAAGAGGACATGGCTGGGTTCTTTGGAACAGAAGAGGCAGAACCTTGAGATTGTGTCTTAATGGATTCCATCCGAAGTCTGAAATAAACCAAAGAAACCAGCAAAGTAAAGCTGATGTGTGGATTCTTAGGAAAAGATCAACATAACAAGATCCAGAACCAACATCTGCATATTTTCAGCCAGAAACCAACACCTTGAGGAACGCTTTCGTCATATCACAATGAAATGCAACTTGAATAAAATTTAGCTACCAGAACCATCAACAGGTGGTATAGTTACATAAGCCAGAACATAAACAAATTCGGAATTCCATCAAACTGAGAGAGTGCAGAAACAGAGATCAAATCATGACTCATGAGTCTGCATTAGGAACTAAAAATAAGTAACTCAGAACTATAAAAAGAGAGATAGGGAGTAACTATTGGTTCGACATCTTCTGTCACTTAACCCAGGTAGAAGGTTAAACATAATGAAATTTCCACCAAATGTTTAACATAACATAGGAAATGAACAAATCAAACTTTCAACATGTAAAGCGGTATGGTTGAGGTTGAAGAACAGCATATAGCAAGAACAAAACAACAACGGCAGCAACATAATAAATTTTCTAGCTCTAAAATAATATGTCTACAACAACATGTGTCAAAAAGGAGAATGCCAAAGTTAAACAGCGCTACTCAGTATGCAACCTTCAGAGTTTAGAAACAATTTTGTAGGGCAGGCAGAAGCACAAAATAAGTTCAATGTCAAATTTTATATCTCAATATCTCATGAGTGTTCAGTTATATTTCTCAGTTGCACCAAACCATTGTGCATATAAAACCAGTTACAAAAATCAGTTGAAAAAAAAAACAGCTTCTACGTAGGTTTTCATATTTATCTATACAATCATGTTTCCAGAACTATAGCTTTCAAGAGGCCTGGGTGCGATCAGATCATAATTTAACAATTAAGGATTAAGGCAGTGAAAATCTCATACTAAGCTAGTAAGCTGCTAAACGCTAAGGTACGTGACAAGCTACAAACGCCAAACCAAACACAGCACCAGTCCCCAAACTGAACGTTCTGCTAGCTGCACCACCTCACAGGAATTTCAACGAACAACTAGCGAGCAAACCTCAGAACAACAAACCACGCAAGTGAAACAGAAACAGGGATATCGATCCGTCACGCAGGAGCCCGCGCTCGCGCTTGCTCCGGCCGGCTCGCATCATACTACTACCCTAAGTCCCTAACCCTACACGAAGAGGGCAGAGGCTGCTGCAGCATCAGCTCTGACCGCAGGCCTCCTAATCCGACATGGGGAGTGGCCGAGTGGGTTGATTCTCTTACCTTGAGGAAGTGATCTGTCACGAGAGGAGGACGAGGGGGATGACGGCGACCGAATGGATTGGATCGTGGATGGTGGAAAGAGGAAGGAGATCGTGGTTTTCTTGGACGAGCGAGCGACGACGTCGGTTTTTCTTTCTTGGAGGAAGGGAAACCGCGGGAGAAAGCCGCGGAGCGGAGGGGATAGCACACGGGAAGGGAGGAAACACCCGGAATGTTCGAGATGGCTTTGGGCCTCGCAGTGTGTTCAGGCTTGGGCCGAGCCGGCCTGACCTAGTATCCGGCCCACTGTGCACATCTCTCCCGCATTTCAGCGTCGCACCATTTTAGACTTCTAAATTACAAATTACCGTGTTTTTATCTCTGACATGTAAATCCATAGTTCATCGGAATTTAAAGATAGAGGGGTCATTCAGATTGTAGACAAAATAAATCTTACTAAATTTTGGTAAGTTGATGATAATACTATCAAAATTTTAGCAGGATTTCTTATGTGTTTACCAAAATAAACTAAATGTATGTATATCTTTGGTAATATTACCTAAAAATGTTAAGAGGAGTCTGATCCATTGCCCTCTTCCTCTCTCGCGAGGCAATGCCACCACAGCCCCAGCAATGTCTCTATCTTACCCGTGACGGCACTATCCCGTAAACCTGAAACCTAATCAAGGGGCTCGCGGAGAGGGAGAGGAAGATGAAGCACACGGAACGGAGAAAATTTCAAGGTTTTATAAATTCTCATGAATCATAATATTCCCCTAAATATTTTGAGTGGTGATAACTCCGGTACCTGATGGAAATACTACCGATTCTTTTTGAGGAAAATCCCAACAATTCATGGTGAACCAAGAAAAATCAGCAAATACAGTGAATTTAACCCCCCCCCCCAACCCCCCCAAGCATCTGCAAAAGCTTGATGGCAAAGGCTGTGGTTTGAATACTACTACGATATAAGCACTAACTGGAACATTTTCCTTTCCCTGTGGATCTGAGGAAGGACCTGACCGGAGCCAATTAACCAATGCATTGATCTTTGCATGCACAAAGCACAGATTTGCATTCACAATGAACCAGTGCTAATTGACCCTTGCATTCAGAAAACCAAGATGAATCCAGTGGGTATATCATCCCCATGCTCAACACAAGAACTCATATAACTATATGTCTATATCAGAATAGCAGCGGCACGAATTTAACCAGCTGCACTGCAGATTGATCATAGATGCTACCAAGCAGATTCAAGGTTCACATATTTTTTCAGGTAGAAACATCCGGAGATCACAGCAGTAGTAACCACTCAGCCAACCATGTCCAAACTACTCTTCCTACTAGAATCTACGAACAAGATGACATAGCAAAAAAACTACTCGCTGATCGATAAGACCTCACAATTCAAGTTCCACCGTTGAGCACCTAAGAGGATTTACACTTGTCTCATCAAAGTTGGTACTGATCAGAAGCTAGCCCCCCCTCACTGAGACTCGACTGTCACCGAACTCGCCTCCCCTGGAACTGCAGCATCCTTGACCACGGGCTCGACCTTCTTCTTGCCGAACACCTGAATCACATCACAGGAAACAGCAGATTAGCCCACGAGATCCATCAGAGGCAACAGCATGTTGTAATTAGCTATCAACATAACAGCATAAAAAGAAGTCCAATTAACTTCAGTCTGCCAAGTCTGCCAAGAACAGAGAGTACATGACAAATGCTATTCGTTGCAACTGGAGAACCCGATTGCAATTTAGAGTGCGTTGCTAATTTGAAATGCAAATGCTAGGATACACTACTGCAGACAAATGATTGTCCATGGCAAATGTTTAGGAGACATCACACCAGCAGATACAGCTGAACCTTGCATATATCAAGATAGAGATCGCACAATCATTTGCAAATATTTCAGCACAAAGGCAAAACAGTGCAGAAATTTTATCGCTGGTAGAAGTATATGCAGAAAGAGAGACTTGACAGGATAAAATTGAGCAGGACAGGTTCCATGTAGCTAAGAAACATACGGGGTAAATTGAGCATTAACAACTTTTTTACATTGGCAATCTAGAATGCGCAGACCATTTGCAACATAATCTATAATTTGCCACTATTTCAACAAGATTGCTAGCAACAAACAGATCCTGATGTACGCACAGGTTAATAGCCACCACCAAATGAATAGAGAACAAAAAAAAAAAAGCATCACAAATCCACAGGGAAAAAAAACGAATGCCTCTGCATCTCTGATCTCTACGTCGCAAATCGAATAACAGTGAACCCGACCACAAATGACGATTCAAATCGCAAACACAAGAACCCATTCACGCAGGTTTTCCCTTAAACATAATGAAAGGCAAGAATCGAACTCACAACGCTTGTTAAACCTCAAGCACTAGTGGAGTTTCTACATAAACAGAGACTTGGCAGTACTAATAGCAAGCAGAACAGAGTGCGCGTAGCGAAGAGAACTCCACAATTTCTAGCAAGAGAGATCCTAATCCTGATGTTCGCTTAAGCAGCCACCGATTCAACAAAAAAGAAGCATCAGGATCGAAGGGGGAAAACCCCCCAAATGCTTCTCCGTCTCAAATCATACAACATTGAAGCCGCCAATGATTAAAATGGAGAGATAAGAACCTATTCGCAGACAAGACTGTTCCCCCTAAACACCTACAAGGCTTGATGCCGAACAGCACGAACTCGCATTGCTATGAAACGATCAAATGCTTGTCAAATTAACAGAACCGCTTTGGCACTAGAACTTGTATGCTAATCGCGTCTTCGACATGATCTATTCACCAAAAAAACGAACGGTAACCTAAGCGATCGATTACATTCCCACCGATCGAACATTCTAACCACGCACGAGATGAATTAAACGCCAAGAACTACACAGAAAAAGAAAAAAAACGACATGAACCAACCACCAAGATGAACTCGTATTACACGCGGCGGCCAAAACACTGAGAAACTCAGAAGCGAACCACCAAGAGGAAGCACTAGGACTACAAGCGCGGCCAAGACACCGAGAAACACCAGCGAACCACCAAGAATCCAAGACGAAGCACGAGTACTACACTACCTACACGCGCGGACAAAACACACAGGGAAAAACTCAGAAGCGAAAACACCATGCATGATGCATCACAGGTTGGATCCAAGCAAAAGTTTGCAGAGGAGGGAGGAGGAGAGGGTTAAGCGGGGAGGAATTACCGAGCTGCTCTTCTGTGAGACGTACTCGCCGGCGGCGCGGAACTTGTCCTTGATGCAGATCCAGTGCTTCTCGGCGGAGCTCTCCTTGAGCTGGTTATAGTAGTCCTTGACGCGCTCCATGAACGTCGCGTCCGCCTCCTCCCCCGCCGTCTTCTTGAAGCACGCCACCTTCTCCGCCGGCGCCGCCACGATCTCCCCCTCCGCCTCCGCCTCCGCCTCCGCCGCCGCCTTCACTCCGCCCTCTTTCTCCATCTCGACGACTCCCCCAACAACACCTACCCCCCAAACCTCTCTCTCTCTCTCTCTCAGACGAAGACTACTAGTGCTCCACTAACCAAAAGCTTTTCGTGTTCCTGGCAATGGTGGCGCTGCGCTTGCTTTATACTGCGCGGCGCGGGTTGCCTTGGAAAGAAAGAGAAGGCTTGGAGGCGCGCGGGGCGCGAGGAGGAGAGAGGCGGGGTGCTTCTCTGACAGTGGGACCACGGCATCCGCTTGTGTCACTGACATATCGGCCCGGTGGGGCTCCGGATTCTCCGGCCGCTGAGACTGGCCTGGTGGGCCCAGCAAATTGCAAGGACAAAACATGGACGTCTCTTCTTGGGCGAAAAGAAGATGTGCTTTTGTGAAGGGCAGTGCCATTGACAGGTGGGGTCCAGTGCCCAGGTGCCTGACGAGTTATACGTACGCGGCACGAAAGGTGCAGTACGAGTAGCTGGCTATGGCTATGGCTACGGCTAGGTGCACGCCTGAACCGGACTAAGCTTCGGTGACTTAGTGGTGTTTACATTCAGCTACTTAACTTTAACTTTAGTCCCTGTCTTTAGACACTAATTTAGAGTATTAAATATAGACTACCTACAAAACTAATTACATAAATAAAAGCTAATTCACGAGACAAATTTTTTAAGCCTAATTAATCTATAATTAGAGAATGTTTACTGTAGCATCACATAGGCTAATCATGGATTAATTAGGCTCATTAGATTCGTCTCGCAAATTAGTCCAAGATTATGGATGGGTTTTATTAATAGTCTACGTTTAATATTTATAATTAATTTTCAAACATCCGATGTGATAGGGACTTAAAAGATATGTTTGAAAATTAATTATAAATATTAAACGTAGACTATTAATAAAACCCATCCATGATGTTTGAAAATTAATTATAAATATTAAACGTAGACTATTAATAAAACCCATCCATAATCTTGGACTAATTTGCGAGACGAATCTAATGAGCCTAATTAATCCATGATTAGCCTATGTGATGCTACAGTAAACATTCTCTAATTATAGATTAATTAGGCTTAAAAAATTTGTCTCGTGAATTAGCTTTTATTTATGTAATTAGTTTTGTAAATAGTCTATATTTAATACTCTAAATTAGTGTCTAAAGACATGGACTAAAGTTAAGTCCCTAGATGTAAACACCACCTAAGTCACCGAAGCTGAGTCCGCCTGAACCCGACCCCGTGTATGAAAGATCGTACGCCTGGGCCCACAAGCGCTCGGCTCGAAACGCCACGTCACCACGCTGTGAGATCTCCTCGGGCTCGAGGAGAAGCCCAATGGGGCAAGACAAAGTGGGCCTTTGGCCTATTTCCCCCAAAGCACAGACACGTGGACAGAGAGAAGCTTCTACACAATCTCGCCGCGCTTCACTCTCCCAGTCTCCCAAGTCTCAACGCACTCCGGTCAACGCTACGGTCAAACAGAAACCAACCAGCTTTTACGTGGTGAGATCAACCCTAATCCCCTCATGATATGCTATTATAATCTCTTGAGTGGGATACTACTTGGGATGCAAGGAAGCAACAAGTACTTAATTCGGTTAGAATTTGTAGCCTCCGATCATGCAGGCGTTTCAGAAATTCAGAGTCCTATAGCTCTGCGATGAGTTCAGCCATGGCGTCTTCCATGGCCAAGAACTCCTCGCCTTTCAAGGTGCGTGTCTCCCTCCCTTTCCTGCTTATGATCCATTCATCCGAATTGATTCACTAGCCAATTAGCCATAGCCACTGTTCAATTGATTACTGATCCTTTCGCCGGCAGGTCGTGCTCGGATCGTCGTCGCCGGCGCGCCGCGAGATACTGGCGGACATGGGATACGAGTTCACCGTCATGGTTAGCTGATTTGATTGGCTATATCATCTTGGAGCTCTCTCGTTATTAATCTCGCTATTACCCTGTAATTAATCCCTCACGAATTAAGTGTGTTTGGTTCTGGTTAACTGTTCAGTGCGCTGACATCGATGAGAGGGCCATCAGGAGGGAGAAGCCAGAGGAGCTTGTCAAGGCCCTCGCTGAAGCTAAGGTTCAGCTGCTAATTACACCGAACAGTATAATTAATTAAGAATTTTTAAGATGCTAGATGCTGTGTTCAGTCGAGGTGAAGCAAGTCAAGCAACCAGAGCAGCTAAAATTGTATTCCTGATGAACTGCAGGCAGAGGCCATCAAACTGAAGTTGCATGGGGAAGACTCTGCTCAAGAGAGAGATCAGCCTACTATTCTGATCACCTCTGACCAGGTACCGGCCATCAGTTTCAGTCATAAACAACTTGAGTTTTATATTTGAACGGAGTTCGTTTGACTAATTAATTTGGTGAATTGATCAATCAGGTCATGGTGAGCAAAGGGATGATAAGGGAGAGGCCAAAAGGCCAGGAAGAAGCCAGGGAGTTCATCAAGGGTATATCTATCTCAAATCTCTGCTTAGGAATTGTACCAGTAAATTTGTTGTATTTAGCTAAAAAGTTTTGGCTGTGTGTTTCGCTGCTATTGGTAGGGTATTCGGGTGATAAAGCATTCGCAGTGAACTATGTTCTTGTGACTAACCTAAGCAATGGAGCTTCCAAAGGAGGATGGGATATACCTGAGGTAGCTGCACATTCATAATCTGAGCTTTTAGTTATGTGGTTATGCACATAGTGATGACGGCTGCGAATTTGATCTCGAGTTTGTTTTGAGTTCAACTGAAATGATCTATACCAAATCATCAAATCGGTGCATGTTTTGGTTTCTGCAGATCTATTTTCACCACATACCAGAGGATTTCATCCAAAGTGTGGTAATCTTCTGAACCTTGCAAAAGTATTTGGACATATATTTTCACCCACCGTGGAAGCCTGTTTTGTTGCTGCTTGGTAATGCAATCTTATGTACTAGTACTTCTTAATTCAATTAGGTGAAGGAAGGACACATGACCTGCGTGGCTGGAGGCCTTAAGCTGACACATCCTTCGGTGCTGCCATTCATCAAGCAGTTAGTGAGCAATTCTTTCGAAACAACCACCATTGCTAGTATTACTACTCTTAGAACGGCCAATCTGTACTGGACAGTGTCACTGCAACGTCTGAACAACAATAATATCGAATCCATTGCTCTGATTTTGAGATTTCTTCCTATGTTGCATAGATCGGCACAATGGATAGCGTTCGAGGACTCCCGAGGGAGCTCACTGAGAGGCTTATTCAAGAAGTTCTTGGAGCCAAATGATTTGCATCTAGAGTGTCACTTGCAACTTGCAAGAAGGGCATTGCTAAATGGACCGTACGACGCGCTGGTATTGTGAATCAGTGAATGCTTGTTTTCTATCGATCCCAGTAACACGAGGGCGATTAGCTCAATGGGAATTTATCAATTAGAGAATTTTACGAGTGAAAACGTGCGTCTCACTTCTTTTGTAGTGTTATAGGGTTCTTTGATTTGATTTTAACTACAAAACAATCTCAAATAACCTGTCTCCACTGTTATCCATGTAAATACACTTTGAAAAAAAGTCCGAATAACCCCTCTCCGTGGAAAACGTTGTTGATCTTTATCTTGCCATACATGTACAAAAAATATTGATGCTTACACGAAAATTTAGGTGACATTTTCCCTAAAAAAGTTTAGACATTTTCCCCTTGATGATGAACTCGTTGCACCTTCCTTGGTCGAACTGTAATCACATTGCCTTCACCTCGATCCCTCTTTGGTGGACGAGGGAGCACCTTGGCCCTCGTATTGGGTGGAACAAGCTGACAGAGATTATCCATCTTGAGGTGCTTGAATATATCAGACCCTATCAGGGATGGAGGACCCGAATGGCGCCAAGGAGGAAGGCGCCAAGCCGACACAAACTCGCAAGTCGTCATGTCAACGCTGAAGACGTGCAGGCTCCTGTGCTTCTCATCCTCCTCGTAGAAATCACCCGCCATGAGATACACGACGCCGTCCTCCTCGCTGCTCAACATGGGCTGGGTCGGCGACGTGTTCGTCGGCAACCCTGATCTCCTGAACCCCTCCTGCTCCCACAAGCTCCCAACATGGATACTACCAACCTTGTGCCACTGCCTTGAGCTCGGCGTCAAATCCCACATGGATAATAGCATGTCGTATGGAGGATCGGTGTTGTATCCCTCGATGGAGACGAATCTGATGGAGTCACTGATGCAACGGATATCACGATACTGTGACGGCAGATGAGTGAGATAGAGCGAGTCGCAACCAACGTAGCAACCATCGGGTAATTGGATGTAACCAAATTGCAAATCGTCGTCGTCGTTGTTGTTGATGTTGTTGGTACCAGACATGAGATCATGGCAGCTGCAGAAGAGGATGCCTTGTCCAAGATCCACCCAGTAAGCAGAGCCTTGGAATGAGAAGGTTTGATGAGCGGTGAAACTCTTTGGCTTCTCGGAGGGGAAGATTGGCCTTCTGGTTCCCCAGCGACGGCGGTCGAATGGTGCCGATGACGGCAGAAGGCAGAGGACTTGCGGTAGATACCCGTCAGCCTCTGCATCGGCGTCCATGTCCATTGCAAAGATGGCAAGGAGGTAGCCGCCGCCATCGGCGTCGGGTTGTTGCCGGACGGGGTGCGGGCAGTAGGTCACAGACGGGAGAAACCTCATCGGAAGAGTCGGGAGCATCTTGAGCGAGGCGGCATTGTCCGCGGCGGCGACGTCGCAGACGAGGTAGGATTTGTGGCCGCGCGTGTCGGGGAGGCAGGAGGAGAGCACGATGAACCCGGCGTCGGCGAGCAGGACGCTGCTGCGGAAGCCGCGGCGGTCCTCCTCCTCCGGGTCGCCGTCGAGGCGGATGGACAGGCGGGAGGGCCGGGGGGGGATCGGCGACGAGCGCGAGCAGCTTCAGGCCGTCGTCGAACGGCGCTAGCTCGTCGACGGGGCGCAGGCCCTCGACGTTCGCGCGGAGCGTGACGTAGGCCGTCGTCTCGCACCTGATGGTTGCCCACCCCGGGTCCTCCTCCTCCTCGTCGTCCGGTTTGTGGAGAAAGGCGTTGCGATCCAGCACCACCCAAGGTGGCAAAGAGCGCGCCGCCGCCATGGCTGATCTACGCTCGGTTTCGGACAAAGACGTAATGTCTTTTGAGCCTACAAATTCGTTCTCGTAAGTCGTAACTACTCCATTATTTTAGCAAATTTTATACTCTCTCTATTTTTAACGAAATCGAATTTGTAGGCTCTAAACCAATTCCGAAGCTGAGGTGGATTCACGGGCGCTCGTGAAATAGAAATACACGTGGCCGTGGGCTTCTTGCAGTCGCAGATCCACCGTCCGATGGACATACGATCCGCGCCAAAAAATAAAAAAATGAAATCGATCCCCTCCTCAACGCCACCGCCTCCGACTCGGAGAAGAGGGAAAAACAGAAAGAAGCGAAAACACAGACCGGCCATGGCGGCGGCGGCGGAGGCGCGCTCTTTGCCACCCTGGGTGGTGCTGGATCCCGTCGTCCGTCTCCACGAACCGGACGGGGAGGAGGAGAACCCGGGGTGGGCAGCCATCAGGTGCGAGACGACGGCCTACGTCACGCTCCGCGCGGACGTCGAGGGCCTGCGCCGCGACGACGAGCTGTCGCCGTTCGACGACGACGGCCTGAAGCTGCTCGCGCTCGTCGCCGATCCCCCCCGGCCCTCCCGCCTGTCCATCCGCCTCGACGGCGACCCGGACGACGACGAGGAGGAGGGCCGCCGCGGGTTCCTCGGCGGCGTCCTGCTCGCCGACCCCGGTTCCTCGTGCTCTCCTCCTGCCTTCCCGGCACGCGCGGCGACAACTCCTACCTCGTCTGCGACGCCGCCACGGACAACGCCTCGCTCAAGATGTTCCCCACCGTCCCGATGAGGTTCCGCCCTTCTGTGACCCCGCTCCCTCTCCGGCAATCCGATGGCGACGGCTACCTCCTTGTCCTCTTTGCAATGGACATGGACGCGGATGCAGATGACGATGGGTATCTACCGCAAGTCCTCTGCCTGCTGCCGTCATCGGCACCATTCGACCGCCATTGCTGGGGAACCAGAAGGCCAATCTTCCGCTCCGAGAAGCCAAAGAAGTTCAATGCTCATCAAACCTTCTCGTTCCAAGGTTCATCTTACTGGGTGGATCTTGGACAAGGCATCCTCTCCTGCAGCTGCCACGATCTCATCTCTAATACCAACGACGACGTGCAATTCCGTTACATTGCACTACCCACCGGTTGCAATGTGGATTTCGACTCGCTCTATCTCACTGCTCCGCCGTCGCAATATCGCGATATCCGCTGCGTTGGCAACTCGATCAGATTCGTGTCCATCGAGGGATACAACACCTTGCCCGGATACAACATGCTGCTGTCCATGTGGGAGTTGATGATGCCGAGCTCAGGGCAGTGGCGCAAGGTCGGTAGCATCCGTGTTGGGAGATTGTGGGAGCAGGAGGGGTTCAGGAGGTCAGGGCTGCCGACGAACACTTCGCCGACCCATCCCATGCTGAGCACTGAGGACGATGGTGTCGTTTATCTCTTGATGGGTGAGTTCTATGCGGAGGATGAGAAGGACAGGAGCCTATATGCCTTCAGCGTTGACATGGTGACTTGCAAGTTTGTGTCAGCTTGGCACCTTCCTCGTTGGCGGCATGCTGGTTCTCCATCCCTAATGGGGTCTGATATATTCAAGCACATCAAGAAGCATAATCTGTGCCAGCTTATTCCACCCAATAAGAGGGATCGCGGTGAAGCCAGTGTGCTTACAGTTCGACCAAGGAAGATGCAACGAGATCATCTGGGGACTGGTAGCAGTCGCGTCCAGGTAATTCTCTACTAATGAAGTTGCTACCAAACGCTTAATTCTGTTTTAACTCTGGTATTCAAAATTATTATTCTTTCCCTTTGCAGCAAGCAAGCAACATGGTACTACATCATTGCCATCGATCTAACCTTCTTGTTCTATCTTGGCAGGAAAAGATGCGGTAGAGACGTAGGAAGATGAGAAAGGAGTGGTGTTTAGCTAGCTAGAATACTCACTTGTTAGGGATCATATTCTCATTTTTCCGTGTCTTTGTATTGGCGAATCTTACTTGTTGGCTCTGCTTTAATTCTTCAAGAGAGCATGTTAAGGCCCTTTAGATTGTCGTAACCTGTGCGCGCTTCCCCCTTTGTTTGAAGCACTTCAGAGTAATTAATTTATCTAGTTCTATTAAATCCTTGTATCCTTGTCTTCTTCATTTGCTGACATTTGTCGTGATCAGTTTGTTCTGGTTCAGTTAGGTTGGTGGTATAATTTTGTTCTATTAACTAAAAGATCTCTCTTCTTGTATGCTCAAAATAACTAAATAGCACGATTAACTGTTTGACAATCCAATGGTTCCAACCGTACAGTCTGTTTTGTCTGGAATTATATGTTCTTTACTCTGTCTGCTTTGTGATATAGGCTTTGGCTCTTTGCATTAGAGATTTGCAGTCAGTGCTATTTTGGCAACTTTGCATTGAAAGATAAACTATTCCTCCATCGAGCGGAGGATCTGCCCCAAGTTTTTTTTTCCCCGGGTAGTGATGCCCCCAAGGTTAATGTTGTTTATTTGCCTCTGTCAATGTTTTTCATGGCTAGTTGGTTGCGAAAGTGAGTTAGAGAGCTCTGATGGTGTCACAGGGGTCACCGGGTCAGGGGGTGTCACTGATTGAAACATGCGTGTTTGGCCGTGTTGGGTTGGTTGCTTGATTAGCATGTGCCTGAGAAAGTTGCACGCCCGAGACTTAAACTGATATTGTCGTAGCTTTTGCCTGACCGGGCAAGCCTCCCGCGATCGGCCCCATCGTTTTACTTATTCGTGGAATAAACCAAACAATATATTTGTAAACGAAAAGTAATTTATAAATAAAATTTTCATATGCGTGTATTTAGTGATTTAAAAGTAATGGCTGGAAAATAAACTTCGATGAAAAAACTCTAAAATCAACTCTAAATTAAGGTTAAAAATTTAAAATTTGGCTGAGAAGCATAAGTATAAATGAAAAGACGCCGATAGTTGTTTCGGTGATGAGTTGAGCGCGTGCGCGGCAAGCCAACGCCGCCGTCAGATCCATCGGTGCACAGGATAGAGAAATCTAAGACGTAGTCATGGAGCTTTGTGGAATGGGGGTTTGCTAGCTGTGAAATTCTTATCCCCTTCTACCTTGCTTTTCGAGAAGATGTCGGCAGAACTCTCTTGTGATTAAAAAGTTGAGCAGTTTCGCCTGGATCTCAGGCGTCCGAATTCGCACGCCGGACTCATGCTAATGATGCGTTGGAGCTACTCAATTTATCAGGCCTCCAATCAAACACCTTTTAGGCAAGTCACAAGGAGGCATCATGTTAGGCTTCTTCTATCCAGGTAGTAACCAAAACAAACCTACAATTTGACCTATTCGTCGTGACTGAAACACCACGGCACAGACAACATTCTTCATGTTTACAACAAGTTCCGTAGTACCGGTAGTCTACAAAAGCATTCAAACTGGGAACTTCGTCTACACATCTTGCAGGTTTTGCTTCAGAAACTGCCCCTCTAGGTCCTTATTTGGTTGTCCTGAGAACGAGCTGGATTGGGCTGCAATTCCTGTGGATTGGACAGACGCGGAGTGAAACCCGGCCCACATAAAAATGTGCATTCGGTTAAGCCCATCGCGGATTGAATCAAGACGGAATAAGTTCACCTAACGTCCCTCAACTTTACATCTAGTCTGTCTGTCTGAGGTCCCCAATTCGCAATACCAGAAATCTCTATCCCTCAACTATTACAAATCGTACAAAAAAGATCCCGATGCAATATTGACCCATTTTTTCCCTGTTTCATTGACGTGGCATACGGTGGGTTCCACATGTCAGCATAATCTCTTCTCATCTTCTCCTTTTCTTTTTCTTTTTTCTTTAGGAACTCTTTGTCTTGCGTTGGCGTCAGCACCTCCTTCACCGCGGCTTCCATGGTGTGTCACCACAACTTGTTGGCCCGCCGCACCGCACGCGCCATCTTGCACATCTCCCCGCCGTCTCGTGGGCATGGAGGCGACGGCGGAGAGCGTGTGGCGGCTGTGCGCAGGGAAGGTTGGGAAGAGCGCCGGGAGGAGGGTGAGGAGGATGCAGGACGGGCGAAGGTCGGCGCCATGCTAGGAGAGCATGGCCACGGCGAGCGGTGGATCGTTGGTGCGCGCGAGGAGGCAAGGGACATGTGGATCCCGCCGTATGCCACGTCAGCAAAAAGGGTAAAAATTTGGGTCAATACTGCCTCGGGATTTTTTTGATAGTTGAGGGGCAGAGGTTTATGGTTTTGCGTATTGGGGACCTCGGCAGACTCGACGTAAAAGTTGAGGGACGTTAGGTGAACTTATTCCAATCCAGGCCGACCCCGTCCTGGGCCGGGTAAGAAACCGCTAAAAAAACCCTCGCGCGGAGGAGACGAGGAGCGCGTAGGGGAAAGCGGCGGCGGCGGTGGCGACGCAGACGCGACTGGGAGTCGACGGCGCGACAGCGACGCGGAGCTCTCCCCGGCGGCGGTGCTCTCTCCTCCGGCGACCGCCCCCTCCGCTGGCCACCTTCTCACCGGTGAGTATCTCTTCCTTCCCCTCTCTTCTCCCTGTCCTACCTAGGGTTTTTGGGTCTTTGATCCTCGGTTCTTGGTCTGTCTCCGTCTCCGACTGCAAGGGCTCCTCCTCATCCACCGTCAACATGGTGTGCATTTTTGATGTAGCTAGCTTCATCCGCCTCCGCCGCCCGCTTTGCCCACCTCGCCGACCCCTCATCCGCCGCCGCCGCTGCCTTCGACGACTGACGAGTTTTGTCTCAACCTTGTTCGGATTCTTATAGCCTAGCACCTCTATCTTCTTGTCATCGCATCAGATAGATAGTAGATCCCAAACTTGTATCACCATGAATGCACGAATTCGAATTCGGATTCACTAGTATTGTTTCTTTGGCTGGATCGGAGTACGGAAATGCAAGCTAAGCTAGCTAGCTCGGTTCACAAATGGATTTTTCGAGCTTGATTCGGAGATATCAACATAAACCAAATACTAATATCAATTTGATGCTATCAGAATGTGCCTTTTGCTGTCTGAATCAAAGCTACCGTTTGTGCTTTGATTCAGCAGACTGAATACTCATTTCTTATTATTGCAGTGCAGGAAGGAAGGAGTAGGAGTTTTTTGGGTCTAGATTCAGTATGGCAAAGTAGCGGGATTTGGAATCCCAACATGCTACTTTGTGTGAAATCCCTGCCAAAACAAGCACATGGTTTTATGATAGGGATTAAAAACAGGAAAGGGATTCAAACCCCACAGGGATTGGGTGATATGGAAGGGATTCACCCAACCCCTTCCTGGATAGGTTCCCCTTGGGGATTAATTCTCAAGCAACCGAACAAGGCCTAAAAGATCCAACTAGGGGAGTGATGCATTAACATTCTGCCGCTAGTATGATACTAAGTACATTGCTTAGGAGGGGTGTTTGTAGTCTAAGATGATATGGGAAATGACATCATAGATTATTGAATCGTGAGTCAGACAGGTGTATGATTCCCATTTTACAATGGTTTTGATTTTTTTTTCCTTTTTGCAAGGTTAGAATGATTCAGTTTGTAGTACCAAACAAAAATCGCTGTATGGCGCCTTAATAGGAATTTTGCTTAGCTTTCCAGTCATCAAAGTAAAATTTCTGCAGCTGCTATAATGATTCTAGTTTGGACCAAAAACACTATATCGTGTATCTGTGCCTCACTACTACTCACCAAGCCATCAGTGTGACTTTGTCCATGTCCAAATTAGTAATTGAGTCACCGTGGCGACCCCTATCCTTAATTCACAACATACTCCCTTTGTCCCAAGAAAAACTCAGCCTAGGAGGGGATGCGACCCCTGCTAGAGAATCTGGACAGAGGGTTGGCCAGATTCGTTGTACTAGGAGGAGTCACATCCCCTCATCGGTTGAGTTTTTATGGGACGGAGGGAGTATACAGCTATTGTGATTTGTTTCACACCTTCGATCATAAGAGGGTTTTAGGTGTTTTGAAGATTTAGGACATGTTGTTATCTAATCTGGAATATATGTTTTTTCTATTATCTGTTTGATACAAGACACTGATGCTTTGGAGAGTGCTACTTGTCACCGTCTTCATTGTTCAGGAATTGAGTGTGGCCTCTTTCAGGTTCCTCTTCTCTTTATTTTGCAAAGACCACCAGAGTGGCACCTTTCATCATATTTGAGATACTGGGACATGACTTTTTGGTGTTCTTACTCGTATGCTATTCAATATATCCCAGTGTTATGTAAAGATTTGATCCACCTAAACTCCTGTATATAGTACATTGAATTCTAAATACTGGTGGCGTGCTCACTTTTCTGATTAACCTTCAATTTTTCTTTCTGTTAAGGTGACTAGGAAACAAGCTTTTCTCTGTTGGATATACCTCTTCTCTTGTTGGAATGGAGGCCAAGGTTTTCAGGTTTCTGAAGCTTGTCGGAGTTGGCTTCAAAGCAAGGACAGAGCGTGAAGGCCGTGAGTTGTTTCTGAAACTTGGTTACAGCCATGAGGTGCAGTTCACTGCTCCACCTGCTGTTCGTGTCTTCTGCTTCAAACCCAACTTAATTTGCTGTACTGGTATCGACAAGAATCGGGTGCACAACTTTGCGGGCGCTGTTCGGAACTGTAAGCCTCCAGAGGTATACAAAGGGAAAGGCATATTGTACATTGATGAAGTTATCAAGCTGAAGCCAGGGAAGAAGCAAAAGAAGTAATGTAGGGATGAGCCTCCATATTTTACTTTCAGTCTGCTAAGATGCTGTAGCACATTTTTAGTGGCGCATATGTTCTTGTGGTTTTCTTGTTCTGGTCTGCTGGATCATCTTTGCCACAGTGCCATGCTGGAACTGGAAGACCCAATAATTCTCTTATGCAGTGTATGTGAAATTGTGAATCATATGTTGAGCCTGTATGACATACAGACCAGAGGGACAAATCACCTTCCAAATTTTTTTTGGACTGGCAACGTGTAAAACTTTCGATGGGTTTGCTGTTCTTTCCACTGTTCTGCTCTGCTATCCTAGACATTGAGCTCAGTGTAAAACTGGATCTGTGCATTCCAGGAGTAATGTTTTTTTGTACTGAGCTAAAATCTGCAGTTTTATATGCATCATTTGATTTGTGATGGTGATAATGGTAAAGCCATGCTGCCAACTAAATAATTGTGAAGAACAACGTGCAGCTTACACGTTGTAGTCTCATCGGTCCTTTTCAGTAAAGATGGCTGCTTCAGTTGTTGAACTTTGTGACTATATAAAACTAAGGCCTTGTTGAGAAGTAAACCGCCTGGCTTGGAAATTGTACTAGTATGACACAAAGAAGATCGTTTAGCTTCGATTGGTTTCGACGTTTTTTGGGGTGAAATGGTTGAAAATTGCAAGCATCAGCTTACTCTTCATGTGCCACAAACTCATATAGTCGATGGAAAATCCCAAACTAAGTGGCAGTCAATGCCTCAATGGAAATTTCTACGACGCCAATATATGTTTTTTAAAAGCAAAAAAAATAGTACTATAAGCACGCGTTCCAAACATCAGCATCATCTAAATCAAGGCCCTATCATTTTCACATGAACCTTCTCACTTTCCATAAGAACCGATAAAAAGGTCCCACGTTCCAAAATCCAAACGACACCTGACACGAAAACCTCACGAGATAACAAGTGCAACCCGAACACGCTCATAATCTCGATTAAACCATGTACTATAATCACATTATTACAAGCGCTTGTCACAACTTTAGATCCTAATAGATTTTTTTGAAGTATTCATAAGTTTCACAAATCCATAATTCTGGACCTGCATTAACGTTGATAACATTTGAATGTATTATTAGGGTGAGTTTGAGGAGAAGGTTATCGAGGAGATTGAGAAGATACGCAAAACGAGGTGAGCCATTAGCTCATAATTAATTGAGTATTAATTATTTTAAATTTTAAAAATGGGTTAATATGATTTTTTAAAGCAACTTTCCTATAGAAAATTTTTTGTAAAAAACGCACCGTTTAGTAGTTTGGGAAGCGTGCGCGCGGAAAACGATGTGTTTTCTCCCTCAATGTTACCCAAACAAACACAGCCTTAATTTTCGTTTAGATGAAATATAAAAGTTTAAATCACTATAGTTTATCCTACAAATTTTAATTCCAGTAAGGACATAAGATCTATAGCTTTGGGCCTGTTTGGTACAGCTCCAACTCCTAAATTTAGCTTTAGGAGTTAGGTCTGGAGTAGAGTTGTGGAGCTGTCTAAATCTAGCTCCACAACTCCAGTTCATTTTGTGAGAGAGCTCCACCCAGCTCCGCTCCCATTTTAGGTGGAACTGAAACTGTTTGGCTGAGCTCCAGCTCCAGAAGGGGTGAAGCTGGAGCTGGAGCTATGCCAAACAGGCCATTTGTCATAACTTTGTCAAATATAACCTTGTACTATGGGTATGTTTGGTACAGCTCCAGCTCTGGCTCTGGAGCTCAGCCAAATAGTTTCAGCTCCAAAAAAAAAGAGGAGCGGAGCTGAATAGAGCTCTATCAAAAAATGAACTAGAAATATGGAGTTGGATTTAGGCAGCTCCACAACTATACTCCAGACCCAACTCCTTAAGCTAAAATTAGGAATTAGAGCTCTATCAAACAGGCCATATGTTAAAATAAAATGATGCGGTGTAAGAAGTCGTTTTAATATCAGTGACTGATGAAAAGTGGACAATTAAGCGTGCTTGATACGAGATATTTAACCATTTGCCACATTTAAATGTGGCAATTAACTTTTTGTCACTGGACCCATATGTCATAGACACATGTGGACCCACATGTCATTGAGATAGGGGTGGCAAATAGTTATTTGCCAAATCTAAAAGTGGTAAATAGTTAAAAGCCCCGCTTGATACTGGTCTTGGTGGTGGGTAAAAGAACAATAATATCTCGCCGGTAAATTGTAATTGTAAACAAATAGAGGAAAAGAAGAACCCAGCAAGCCGAGAGGCCCTTCTAATAGGCCGCTCCAGCTCCGAAACGAGCTTGGCTTGGCGACCCGTCCCTCCGCCCCTCCCTCCCACCCTCCTCCTCCCCAATCTCGCCGCCGCCTTCCTCCTCCCCCGATCTCGCCGCCGCCATGGAGGACGACGACGAGTTCGGGGGCCTCTACACCGACATCCTCGTCCACGCCCCCCCGGCGCCGTCGAATCCCGCCCCTCCCGCCGCCGCAGCCGCCGAAACCCTAGCCCCCGCGCCGCCCGCACCAAACCCTAACCCTACACCGACCCCTGCCTCGACCAAGGCGGCTGCTGCTGCGGATGAGGAGGAGGACGACGACTGGCTCCTGGGCGGGAGCGACCCCGTGGTTGGTGTCGACCCGACCGGGGACTGGGCCGACGAGGAGGAGGATGGCGGCGCCGCGCAGCCACCCCCGAAGCGCGAGGCTGCTGCGGCTGCTGCGAAGCCGGCCCCCGTCGTGGCGGAGGAGGCCGATCCGCTCATGGGGGGTGTAGCGGGCGACGCTGGGGCGGCTATCCCGGGGCTCTCGTCGTCTGCGGCCGCGTCGGCGGCGGCGGCGGGGAGCGAGGAGTGGGATAGTGACAGCGAGGACGATATCCAGATCGTGCTCAACGAGACGGACGGTCGCCGGCGGCTCGGGGAGGACGAGGGCGACGACGAGGACGGCGAAGACCTCGTCATCGTGGCCGATGGCCCTATCCCTGGGATGGAGGAGCAGGATTGGGGGGAGGACGCCGCAGCGGCTGGGGCGGAAGGGGAGCGGAAGGAGGGCGGTGAGCCTGGGAAGGCTGCGGCGGCCCCCGGTGGGAGGATTGGGTACAGTGGCGGCGGCCAGGGGTTCCACCCGCAGCACCATTCCATGTTCAAGGTCAGTTCTTTGGGCCAAGAAGCCGTACGATGCGCTCGGGCCACCCCCGCAGAGGGCGACGGCGTAAACCCGGTTGCAATTCACTACGTTTTATGTTGTACTGTGTAAATATCTTACCAAGTTAAGTGTCCTTTTTAGATTTTCTTTTGCATTCCTGCCTACTGCTCGACAATGTAAACTGTAAATGCATTATTAACATATAAAGGAAGAAAAGGAGAAATACAATGATTTTTGCATCTACTATTCAATGCTTCCATATAGCTAGTTCAAAGATTCTAGACTTCTTAATGTGCCATCTCCATGCTGGAGTTATAGTTCTCTGTCAAGTAGGGGGAGTTGCTGTCAAGATGGTTGCGATGATGATTGGTTGTGAAGTTCCAAGTCAGTAACTTCATTTCAGACGCAGATATGGCATGGATGAAGCCAATTGATGTTAATAACAGTGTCGTCATTTCAAGCTAGGGGATAGTGGGAAAGACTGCAACTGTTTGAATTACCAATATTACTGTTGCAAATAAGAGATACAGGGACATAATAGTTGATATAATTTAGCTCAAATAGCATCAAATCTAAGCTTCAGTCTGTCTGTTCTTTACATACACAGGGTTAGGATAAACCTTGGCCATGCACACTCGGATCATAATCACCTCGGCTGTAGGTTTCTATAGTCCAAGTTAAGTTTGTCTATATTAAACATGACAGTAGAAGTCTTGGGGGGCAAAATAACGATCAATCACAAATGGGCTTGTTTTCCTTCCCTTTCTACCAACACAAATATGATATTTGGTGGGATAATTGGCTATTTCAGCAATCCCATACCAGGCTTCTTATAATTTCTGATCATTTTCAGTGGTTAGGCTATGTATGATCATATAACTGTATGATGGGAGTGTGATTCATGCACATTTGTAGCTATTGTGCTGGTTGCTAATGTGTTAGGACATGCTATCACTAGGGATTTTTCTTCTAATATGAATCAGCCTGAATTTATATCACTCCCTGGCTCCCTGCTGAGCGATATGACTACATTATAATGATTTGGGCATTTGGATCATATACTAGTTTTCGGTTGTCTAAGAAATAATTAATATTAGTTTGTTTGATTTTTAGGAAGATTTGAGTTTCCACAGTGTTTGCATGTGAGATTTGTTAGAACCAAAGTAGTACAAATCTCTGCACTACATGTGCCATTTATCTTGTGGTTAACTGCTTAAAGCAATCTATCATATGGGCTAAAATAATTCTTTTTGCATGTGGATTTTTTGTAAATTATGTCCAAAGCTTACAGCAATGAACCTCATGGAAGTCTAAATTGATTACATGTTTAGGTTGTGTTTATAATTTATCATATGTTCTTGTGGTTTTCCTGTTGTTAAATGGAAGATTTTACTGCTTGAAAAGTTGTCCGCGACATCAAGGATTGCTCACCATTATTGATTTATTTTTATTTAGTTGTTAAGTCTTTTTCTAATGTTTCTATTATTTCTTGTCTTCCTCGTGCAGTATGTGCGCCCTGGTGCTACACTAGGGGCTCCATTAGGTGGGGCTCCTACTGCTACTGGTCAGTTCCGCCCTCCTGGACCACCGGGACCTTTTGCTGGTCGAGGAAGAGGTGACTGGAGACCTGGTGCTGGTAGGGGCATGAATAAAGGTTTTGGCTATGGAATGCCCCCATGGGGAGGTTCAGGTCGTGGTTTTGGTGGACTAGATTTCACGCTTCCTCCGCACAAGTAAGCTAACTGGTAGACATGTTAATAATGATAGTCATGTATGTTGAATGGTTCGTTCTCCCTTATCAGGAATTCTGTTGCTGTTGTGAATGACTGTCTATCTTATTGTCAATACATCTCTCTTATTGTAAAGGGCTTATTGACCTGCTGCCTGAAATCACTAATATTCACTCAAATACGAACCCTTAGGTTACTGAGTATCCTGAGCTTTACTTAAAACTACGAGGAGAAAGAAACAGTGATATACAGCTTTACCTTTTATTGAGAATCATTATATACAAGCATTCTATAAAGCAAATCAGATAGATGTTAGTATTATTGTAATGTTCTCTGGCAATTTGTTAGTATGTATTTTGGAAAATCCTCAACGATGCAGAAAGGTTGGGATGGGATATTCCTTCTGATCTATTAATACATCTGTACAATAAATTCTATTTCATATCTAATTGTTTTCTACTCATAAGGACAATTTGCTTAACTCAGGACTATATTTGATATTGACGTTGATACAACATTCGAGGAGAAGCCATGGAAATACCCTGGTGCTGATATTTCAGACTTCTTTAATTTTGGGCTTGATGACGAGAAGTGGAAAGACTACTGCAAGCAGCTGGTGAGTGCATATTTTATCATTTGTTGGCATGTATTAGACTATTAGTGTTATTCTGTTTTTCATTTGTAAACAATTGGCATGATTTATCACTAGGATCAACTACGATTGGAGTCCACAATGCAATCTAGAATACGCGTGTATGAGAGCGGGCGATCAGAACAGGTTTCCAATAGTCCCACTTTGAAAATATCAATTCTGTGCTATTTATTCTTTTGATGAACTATCTTTAACTGGTTTCCATTCAGGACTATGATCCAGATCTGCCGCCGGAGCTAGCTGCTGCTACTGGTCATCATGACATTTCTGCTGATAGTCGTAATAAAACTGATAATGGGCACACGGACGTCAATACCCAAGGAAGAGTTCCTACAAGCATGCGTCCACCTGTGGTACTAAACCCACTCTCTTTGACATCTATGTAGCTGGTTCTTGCTTTTCATGTTTTTTCTTGCTCGTGCACAGTGCGCACCCCATGCCATGATTTTGCAAATGTCAGCACTCACACATCAGTGCACGTGTACATTATGAAAGGATGTTCCACACACTCAATCATGTGCTTCTTTTCAATAGCTGTGTGAGATTGATAGTTATCCAATCTATAGGTTTAAGTTATTCCCTTTTTGACCACCACTTGGAGCATTGGTTCAATCACGCTAAACTTTCAAATTCCATATAGGTCAAAGCTGTTGTCCACTCTTTGTATGGATTTGGTATTGACATCCTCTAATTTTTAGTACTGTTGTATAACTAAATCTCGACAACAAGTAGCACGAGATATTGGAAAATTTGCAATCATGGTCATGCTAGTTTGGTAGCCACATGGATTCAATCAATAAATAGGGGTACGCATCGAAGTTAAAGGGTTGGTGTCTATGAAAAGAGGGAGCTACAAAGATTTATATATGTTTGGGCATCTAATGCTAGTAGCCAACACCTGTTAGTGTGCCCCTTGAGGCCTTGACTTGGGTCAGGAGGGCTGCCCTTAGGGAGAAAATTGATGATATGCCACTCAATTTGTTGAGCTTTGATAAAAGGCCACCCTCTATATTGCCTCCTTGTTAATTTGCAACTTTGGAGGGTTTGAGCCAAATTTTAATTTCTTTTCTCCTATCTTCCACTAATTCGGCACAGGAAAAGACCAAAATCCCCCGACCCCTTCCCACATATCGATTAGATCATTGGTCGATTGACCCATCCTCTCTGTCGTGGCCTGTTAGCATAGACAGAACCTTTGCAGCCGTTGGGGCTTAGCGCACCCCTACCCCCTAAGTACCCCCTTCTCCCCATCTACCCCGAGCTCCACCTGTAAGAGGAAGAAGAGAAGGAGAAGCTGCGTGACCATTGCTGTGCCGGCGCCACTGCCTGCGCTCACTCGTAAGCCCTCCGGCACCGCCTGCTTCTGTGGTGCGCAGTGCGCCACTGCAGATGGCCGAGGGTGGAACTCAGGCGAGGTGGTGTGCCGAGCCCTGGCACACGGTGGCTGACCAGCAGGCTTCTCCCCCTTGGTGGCGAGCAAACTCCTGCTCCTGGAGTGATGGCAGATAAAGGGAGAGGGATTAACCTGAGAAATTATGAATGGCTAAAACCCTAATAAATGTCATTTTATAGAGGTGGCAATGAAATGGGTGGTATTTGAACAATGGCAATCTAGACAGTGTCATTTTACCAATGCCCAACAAATCGAGTAGCAAATCGTTAATTTTCTCTGCCCTTAGGTGTGAGGCTGTCCTGTAGGGTTCACCAAATCACCAATTGCTAAGAGTGTTGGATCAGGATTATTCGATGTCATTCGGTAGAAACAAGCTCCCCTTGGGATTGGGGGGTATTTAAGCTTCTTGGTCTTGTATACTGACTATAATGCTAATTAGTAACCAGGTAGCTATAGATTTGTTGTTGTTGTTGTTGTTGTTGTTGTTGTTGTTGTTGTTGCTGATGAGTGGGCCTAGACTTTGTCTTGGCATGTGTTCACCTACCACCTGGTCCCTCGTAGGATGTGGTCTGAGTCCACCTATTGAGCTGTGGATTGACCATGCCTTGACTAGGTGCAGGGTGATCTCAACCCCTAGGCAGCTAGGTCTGGGTGTTAGGGTCGGGGCGTGACACTGACCTTGCCTTGAGGGCACATGGTGGAGGTTCAGATCGCCTATGGGTACTCTGACTATGTGCAAGTTGAAGTCATTGGAAGTACTATCTAATTTTAGTGCAAGATGACTCTAGCAGTCTGTTATGAGACATGCAAGTTTCATGTGAACAATTACAACACACGCAGGGCCAGCTTTCCTTATTTTCCCATGCTCATCTGTATAGATTCTATACTGATGTTAGAGTTCTCTTGTCAGATGACAGGGAGGCCTATACAGGTTGAAACTGGCTATGGAGAACGCCTTCCATCTATTGATACCCGCTTACCTCGAATGCGTGAATCAGACTCTGTTATAGAGGTAAGTATTTTTTTGATTCGACCTGTGTTCAAGTTTCTGCTCATATGGATCAACTCTGCTTTTTGTTGCCTGTCAGTCGAGTAGTATTTTGTGCCTTTTCAGTTCTAACGAGTACCTTGCTTTCCATTTCAGATTGTGTGTCAGGGACAATCAGATGATCCACTAGTTGATGATAGTACAGTGGACCAAACTGAGAAGGATTCTCAACGAGGTGATAAAAGGACCCATGGGGCTGAGGAAGGAAGACCATACACATCTGAGATGAATAGTTCTTCTGCTCTGGGGAAGGAAGAACATAAGAAACGGTTGCCTGTTTCATCTGAAGGTGATAATGCTACAGATGTCAATGGCCGCTCCTCTCCCAGCTACAGAACAAGGGGTTCTCCTCGTGGAGTAAGGTATGCCAATATCTGCAGACCTTTAGATATACTAGATAACTTATTAACATGAACTAAGTTTATTTAGTCTTTGTTTGCATGATCCTATTTATGCCATATCGGACTTGTTGATTGTCCTCCCATGATGTAATGGTCCCATGTTGCTATAAATGTGAAGATATTGCAGCATCACATCAGTTTCTTGTCCATCTTGGGGAATTCTGTTCATTTTTCTACACCTATCCACTACCAATTTTTCATATTTTTTCTGATTCAGTCTACTTCAGTTGCACTTCATTTCTCTTGAATGTTTTTCATTACTTCATTCAAATCCTTCGTTTTTTGTTAAAGCTATATTTGTAATGCTGCTTCCAAATTGGTTCTTTGAAGGTCATCGAAAGGAAGCTCTGCCCGAGAAGTTGAAAGTTCCAATGAAATATTACCCCGCCAAACAACATCATTAAAGAGAAACAATGATTCTCAGAGAGAGAAAAACCCTGATGAGGGCTCAGAATCCAAGGATGGTCCTGAAGGGTCACCTGCTGCTGCTGATGAAGCTGCAGATAAACTGAGTGCAGATCACTTTGATGGTAATGATGGCAGTCTTGCTTTGGTTGATAGTGCTGAAGTGGATGGTGATGATGTTATCTCAGATCCTCACACGGTTAGTGAGACAACTACAACTGATGGTGATAACTTGTCTCATTCTGGTAAAAAACAGAAACTAATTTCTAGGGCAGAGCAGCCCACTGGACACAATAGCAGTGATCAGGATGAATTGAGGACACGGAATAGTGATAATAGTAGAGGGAGGTCTGGTAGCAGCAAAGATAATCAAAAACGTCTTGAATCTGGTGAAGAAGTTCTGCAAGATAGGCGGTCCAGGCGAATAAATGATGCAAGAAGGCATCATGATGGAGAAGACCGCAATTCTCGTCGGAAGGATGAGTACCTTCGAGACATCAAACCAGATGTGGAAAGATCACATTTGGCCTCCAGGAGTAGGGATGATACCTACCACCCTTATGCAAACAGAGACAGGGACATGCGTGGCAGAAGTTATGATAGGGTAAGAGATACAGAAATTTGGCAGAGGAGAGAAGAAAGTGTTCACAACAGACGAGCAAAAGAGGAAGATGTGAGGCTCGAACACAATGCTGAAGTTGGTGCAAGGAATAGAAATAAGATGAGGCCACCTGTTGATCGGAATGATAGGATTGAAGATCCTCATGCAAGGAAGCGGTTGGATGATGGTGACTGGAGGGGCTCTAGACCAAGAGAGCGTGGTGATGTTGTTCTGAATCGTCGTGAAAATATAGATGATTCGCATATGAAGAGAAAGAAGGATGAAGAGAACATGAGGAGAATGAAACCTGAGAATGAAGACATAGTTCATGGACAGCATGGTTATAGAGGAAGGGATGACCCAAACAGAAGGAAGAGAGAGCGGGATGATGGAATTGATCAGAAAAGAAGAGATGACAATGCTAGGATGAGGGAGAAGGCTGATGATCGTTATCATACAAAGCATAAAGAGGATAACTGGCGACAGAGAGAAAGAGAGGACAGGCACAGGCCTAAGCATGACAACACTGTGACCCTTCAGAGAGATGAAGGAAGGGGATCTGGTCGGGGTGGACGGATTTTGGATGATAAATTAGTCACTAGCGGTAGGAAACAGGATGAATCAAGATCTGCAGGATTAAGCAAAGAAGCGCAAGAGCGCAGCAGACAAAACGACCCTTTGAGGAGAGATCAAGGAGCAGAAGAAAATAACATGCAAAATAGAGGCCGTTCTGATGTACATCCACGTGATGAAAATCCAAATAACAGTGAGAGGAACACCAGGCAAGAAAAACCAAATAATACTCATGACGGTAACCGTCTATCGAGCAATTCTGGTGCTCGCCAAGTGAGTAGAGATAGATACCGGGAAAGCACAAGAAAGGGCAGAAGTTCTGATATTAATGAACATGATCTTCCCAAATCGAGCAAGAGGAGACGTGAAGACCATGAAAGTCATCGTGGTGGGAAGGTATGAAATCCTTGCTGACTATTACTTCAGGAAGGTATACATGCATTAGAGGTTCATTTGATTAGATACCAGAAAACTAGAATGCCATAGTTTTAAATTGATTGCTGCAGCCTTTGGTTTTGAGCTGTGCAGATATTTTACCTACTGTTGTTACAAATGATCGAGTGCAACATACTACAAGTTTTTGATAGTGTGTCAAGCTTGGATGCTTATTGATTGGGGTTTTTCCTTCTATACTGCCTATCCTGGTTCTTCCAAGATAACAGTTACATGATCACATCTTTAGTGATATGTTCATATGAGAACCTGTGCTCCCTTCGCACATAAGTGCACTCAGATGTTTACAAAAAATTTCAACTAAGTCTGTAAACATGATTGCATGCATCACCATGCAAAATTTCAACTCAAAATCTGATACACGGGATGGAAAAAACAAGGAATTCATATGAACAGTGCATGTCTACACTTTGGTAATCACTTATTTGTGTGTCCTGACATTTCGGTTGAAATCTGTAGGATACTATCATGTTAGCATGGGACAGTTTTAGATATTTTCAATGCACATTTCAGTGCACTTTTTTGCAAAGGGAGCACAGAAGTACACAACATTTTCCAACAAAAGAATATGTTATGAGCTTATCCAAGCAAGTTACTAAATCTGTCTCCTAATTGTTTTGCAGAGTACTTTTATCTTATTTTGCAAACTGTGTTAGATTTCTTATATCTGAGTAGTGGGTACCTATGTTTTCTCATTAGTGCATATGGCATTATGGCAAGTTGAGCCTGGTTATATTTTTGGTCTGCTTTAGCTTTATATTACTGGTTGAACGCCAGCATGGTGCATGGCAATGTTTTCTAAAAGGGAACACAAAATAAAGTAAAATCTGTATGACATATTGCCTACGCCTTGCAATGAGAAAATATGGCAAAGCATTTTGGGAAGTCACCTTGCTGCATGTGGGCTTATGTTTCAGCTATTTCTAGAACTCCTTGGATTAGTCACTCACTCGATACAAATGCAAATATAATGCTGTATAGGTCGATGTGAAAGGAGTGAGCGAGCAAGAAAATAGTAGGGATCATACTGTGTCCTCCAAAAAGGGCCAGAATCCACAACGTGAATCATTTGTGAAACAAGCGGAAGAAGATCCCATGTCAGATGATGAAAACCATGAGGATTCAAGAAGGGGTCGCTCTAAGTTGGAGCGGTGGACGAGCCACAAAGAGATAGACTATAGTAGTATCGATAATGAAAATGCACCAACATTTTCTTCCATCAAATCAGATGTTCAAGCTCCTACTGCTGATGAGTTAGGTAAATCTGAAGCAGCTGCAGCTGGCAATTCAGAACTCAAGAGCGGTGGCGATAATGGCCAAACATCTGAGAAGAACGCCGAAGAGCGTGATCGACATCTAGACACTGTTGAGAGGCTCAAGAGACGGAGTGAGCGTTTCAAACTTCCCATGCCTGGTGAGAAGGATGCACCGCAAAGCAAAAAGGTGGATACTGAAGTGCAACCTCCGCAAATCGAATCTGCTTCTGCTGATTTGGAAGTCAAGCCAGAGCGGCCAGCCCGCAAGAGGAGGTGGACTGGGACTGGGAGCTAGCTTTGAGCTGACGGTCACTCGAAGGAATTACCTGCGGAATATCATGACGGATTGCACACTTCACACCATGTTTGTTCTGTTACAACTGGAAGTGGAATCCATGTATGATTTTGCTGTTTAATTTATACATGTATGTGTTAACTTACAGAAATGTTTGATTTTTGGTTGGGGAACTGGATACTGTATTTTTTTTACCCATTCATTTCCCCTAATGATTCCGGTGGTCCAAATGTGGCGCCGGTGCCAGTGTGCCACCAAAATCAGATGGCTCCAAGCCTTTTATGGAAAGCAGCTGATTGGAGTTCCCTGACTTGGTAGGACTGGTGCTTCGACAACAATTTCGTGGGTTCCAGGAGCTGCATTTGAAGAAGCAGGGGTGCCCCATGCAAGCAATCTTTTTCTTGTGATGAACTGCTGGTGATCTGGAGGCACTTGATTATTGTATGATTCCTGTTGCCATCTGATGTTGCAGAAGCTATACCAAGTTACCGCTTCTTGTGCATGGAAGCATGGCATCTGACTGCGAGGTAGATCTTTACGACCTGGGATGACTACCTACTGTGTGCCATAGTATGTTCTTGTACATTTTGATGAACCTACATTGACGTGCATAAAGTTAGTTCATAGTATGCAGCAAGACTGCAAGAGCTAGTGTAGAGCTGCATGGTATACTGAACATTTGGACGGATCAATAATGTATACATCTTAGGTAGTGGACAGTAGGGTTGCTTGTCTAGTGGAATTTTGCTTATGACGATAACCCAGATTGATTTGACTTCGATCATCCAAATTCGTTTATGAACTAGACCCATGTTCTATGCGGAAATGAATGCTTCTTTGTCGAGTACTACTTGCATAAGCATAAACGTAAGCTGAAGATTGCAAAATTAACACACCACTAGTACATAATTACAGGAGGATGGCCAAGCTTAAGTTTGCCAAATTAGTATAGGCCAATAGAAACCAAACAAGATCCCTGTGATAAGCCTCGGTTCTGTCATTTCTGTTCGGGGTTTCAGGCGATAGCGAGCGCAACCAATCCTTTGCTCCCGCGGACGCTTTCGCGCAACTGCGCGCAAGCGCAACGGGGCCAATCGCCACTGCGACGGTCACCGTCGTGGTTTCGGCCGCATCCGGCCACGGGATTCCGCCTCATCCGCGCGGTCCTCATGCGCGCGCGGGCTCGGCACACGCCGGAGCTGACCTCCCACGAGCGCGGCGCGCTCCTCCCCGTGTGCGGGGGCCCTCTCACGCACGCACCACAAGTTAAATTTAGGACCGAATTACACGTACGTCAGGCGCGCTCAGGCATTCTGCCGGGCGTGTGGTGGCACGTGCCGCCGTAAGAACGGCACTTGTCCCCCGTTTACAACTGTACAAACCTTATCCACCTTGGAAAACGGCTCACGCAGCATCCTTTGTTTTTTCAACTTGCTTACACAGTTACTTGCACCCCCAATCTCACAGGCGAAAAATTCGCAAAGAATACTATGGGAAAAAGAAAACCAGCGATTCGGCAGCCTCCAGGAAGAGCCGAAAACGTTGCGCCGGCGCACCCAGTCTACTGGGGCCCCTTCCCACGGATTCGCAAAATTGCAAGTAGTGAGTACTCCGTCCGTCGCATTTTAAGTGTAATTATGAGTTTTTTACCTAACTTTAGTCATCCATCTTATTTAAAATTTTTTTATAATTCGTATTTTTGTTGTTATGAGATGATAAACATGAATAATATTTTATGCGTGACTTATGTTTTTAAATTTTTTTAAAATTTTTTTAAATAAGATAGACGATTAAAGTAGAACGCGAACTTATGACGATTAAAGTAACAGCGAGTAGTGAGTCAGTGACACCAACCACGCCCAATATTTGCAGATAGCCCACTGGTTTTCCCCCAAAACAGCCCGCACCCACCGTAATACGTTCGCTATTTTGTCACGGATTCGGCGCCTCCTCGCCTCGGCTGCATAAATAAATACCGCCGCGCGCGCCTAGCCAGCGTCGTCTCGCTCGCCGTTCGTCCGCAACAAACCAAACCAACAACACCGAAAACCACCTGCGATTCTGCCGCCGCACGGCCCCGAGGATCCGAAGCGAGAGAAAGCGATGGCCCCGACCGCATCGATGCTGTTCCTGAGCTACCACCAGCTGCACAGGCCCGCCTCTGCGGCGGAGGCGGCGCCGGCCAGCCGGAGGAAGGAGGCGGAGGAGGAGGGGAGTAATGGCGGCGCGGCCGGCGGTCGCGTCCGGGTCAGCCTGAGCAGCGCGCTGTCCCTCCTGGCACGGCGGAGGGAGGCGGCGCCGACGCCGACGCCGCAGGCCGCCGCGGCGAAGGAGGTGACCAGGCGTGGCGGTGGTGGTGGAGATGGCGTCGCCGGCGAGGGTGAGCCGGAGGAGGCGGCGTCGCTGGAGCGTAGGTTCGAGGAGGCGGTCCGGCTCAGCTGCTGGTCTTCTTGAACATCTAAATTAGCTCTTTGCGATAATTGCATATTATCCCACATGTACATAGGTAGTGCTACTGCTGCTAGTGCCAAGCACATGCACCTTTTTTTTTTCTTTTTTCTTTTGTTTGCTATGATATTGCCGCTCTGTTCCTGCATCTGCATGTTAGCTTGTACATGGATGTATAATCGATTTCCTTTTCTTCTTCTCATTCCTCTTCTTTTTTTTTTCGTTCATGTGCTATCTTGTTCTTCACAAGTGCTTGGATCTGTAAACTGTAATCCACAAGAGACGCTTGTACATGAGTTCGTCGACGATTTTACAGCCTTGGTGTTGGCTCCTCCTGTCCAATCCTCTGGCTTAAGAATCGCTCGAGCTAACGAACTCGTCCCTCGCCAAAAAAAACACACAGAGAGAGAGGCGAATACATTCAGGTAAATAGCGGCTAATGGGCTTCTTGTCACTGAAAGAGCAGTGCTTAGCCCACAAAGCATTCAGGTCCCAAATTAGGGCTCATTAGTATGGGCCAAAATTTAACTAAAATCCCACCCTATACACTGTACGGACCGGAATGTAGGCCCACGAATACGAGACCTTACTAAAACTGCGGCCCATAGTACGAGGGAACCGCAAACCGCAAGCCGCAAGGTCCTCGGCCTGGTCCGTCTCGTCGATTCCCAAGATTCTCCGCGACGGCGCGGCCGTGCCCTTCTCCTCCCCGGAGCTTCGAGTCGCTCAGCCTCTCGTCGGCTGCTCCCGCCGCTCGCCGCCTGCGCCGCCGCCAGCTCGCGCGGTCATCACCATGAAGGTGAGTCAAGGGGGGCGCCTCTTCTCCTCTGTCCTTTTGCCGTTTTGGTCGGGAGGGTGGGCTTCTCTCTGGCCTTGCCGACCATGTGCTCGACGTAATGCCTCGGTGGGTGACCTGTTGCAGATCGCGGTGGAGGGGTGCATGCACGGGGAGCTGGACAAGGTCTACGACACGCTGCGCGAGCTCGAGAAGGCCGAGGGCGTCAAGATCGACCTCCTCCTCTGCTGCGGCGACTTCCAGGTGAGCAGGCCGTGCGCTCTACGTTTTGCTGCGGTTCTTTTCCTTAATTGGGAGGTTTTGCGGAATTGATGCGATTCATGCGGGAAAAAGGTTCAGCGGTCTCGTGTGTATGTTGAAAATAGCATTTGGTGTCCCCGCAGCTGGTTGGAATTTGGGAGTAGTAGTTGTTTGTTTAGTTGGTGGTTTACTTCGACTGATAGGAGTGGCGAAGTAGTGTTAATTCTCTTGTAATCAAATAAAATGTCGATATTCATACTGCTACTCGGCTACTCCAATGCATATGAAGATAAGCTAAACCAAGTCTGTAAGATGAAGCACTTGTGTTTCCAATATTTACTATGAATAAGTACCAGAATGGCTATTAGCTAATCCCCGCTCATTTTCTGATCACGCTCTACCAATGTTCGGCAGTACTCTGCTACATGTTAACATACCTCACCTTTTGATGCAGGCTGTTAGGAACGAGAATGATTTACAGTGTCTTAATGTCAAACCAAGGTTTCGTGAAATGAAATCATTTTGGAAGTACTACTCGGGACAAGCTGTTGCCCCATACCCAACAATCTTCATAGGTGGAAACCACGAAGCATCCAATTATTTGTGGGAACTGTGAGTCTTCTTCATATATGCTTGATGGACCTCTTGCAATACAAAAATGTGGTTTCTCTTTGCTCTGGCCCTAGGGTATATTCCCATCCACTTGATGACACATAATTATAACTGGCATTGAAGAAATTGGTCGGTGTGTATTGTACGCTTTTCCATAGTGTATTTTATATTTTGGTTTTAAATTTCTAATTGGGATTATTCATGTCCAATGATCGCTAGGAATGGCATGAAGTTCATTGTTGAATGAAATTGTTTTGAAATTAAAACTTTCTTTTGGATGATGAAATCACTGTTTTGTTTAGAAATATATATATGAAGGGGATAAAGTATCCTCGTTATTGCCTTTATTGAGTTACACAATATATTTGACTGTCATTGTTCATACTATTGATGTGCCACCTCCATCTTAAATATATGACATTGTTGACTTTTAATAAGATGAATGGTCAAATTTCATGTCCAAAAGTCAACATCGTCATACATTTATAAATAGAGGGAGTATCATTGTTGCTAATTTTAAAAATGTAACTTTGCTACTTTTTTTGTGGTCAAACATCTAATAGGTATTATGGAGGATGGGCAGCACCCAACATCTACTTTTTGGGGTTCGCTGGTGTTGTTAAGTTTGGAAACATTCGAATTGGTGGACTATCAGGAATATATAAGCAACAACATTATCACTTAGGCAAGTTTATTCATATTTTCTTGGGATACCTTGTAATATTTTTCAACTTTTATATCTAGAACATATTGTTTAAAAAGTGGAAGCGTAATGAAAAAACGTCCTAAACTGCAAAAGTAAACACCAATAAACTCTGAATAGAGTATTTTAAACTTATTGCTTCTTATGCAGGACACTATGAGAGGCCCCCATACAATGAAAACACTATAAGGTCAGTGTACCATGTAAGGCATTATGATGTTCTCAAGTTAATGCATGTGAAGGAGCCTCTAGATATATTCATGTCACATGATTGGCCTCTGGGCATTACTGAGTACGGAAACTGGCAGAAGCTTATTCGGGAGAAAAGATTCTTTGAAGAAGAGGTAATACCATCGGTTACACAACATTTTTAAAGACTCTAGACATGGAAACAGTATTTTTCCATAGCTAAGATATAACTATGACAATGGTCACCAGCACCAACCGTATGAAAACGCTTCAAGAGAGTAATCTTTTTGAGCTACAATACTGAGTATTGTATTTTCAAATTAAACTAATGATATTAACAATGGCTTCATAGATCAATTGGAAAAAAAAAACAATGATTTCATAGGCTGGTCGGATCAACTTGGTCCACTGTTCATTCAAATAATGGTTCCACAGTTTCAAGACACTTCTTAATAGGCATGGTGCAATGAGATTACATTTGTTGATTCTATTCCAAGCCACCTCCTGTTCTGACACTGACTACAACTTCTGCTTTCTGTCTCTGACTTTCACTCTGCTCTCCGACTGACTTCCACCTTGCTCTCATTCTAGCCAGAGATCTGCTCCTGAGTCCTGAGTCCAATCTTCATGTTCGCTTTTCCCCTGGGCCTATAAAAACATCCCTATGGGGAAAGTCAATCCTCATTGTATGCTGACATGTTTAGCGGTAGCCTGACTATTATTGTGAGGCTGTTGGCTTATTATACTCCATGCATGTTTAACCCCACTTTTTACACAACATAAGTTTTATGCTTCCTTAGCACATAACTTTCAGGATTGTATGTGCATCAGTCTATTAGTGATTTTATTTATTATTTCAGGTCAACAAGAGAACACTAGGCAGCGAACCAGCAGCAAGACTACTGAATAAACTAAAACCACCATACTGGTTTTCAGCTCATCTTCATTGTAAGTTTCCAGCTGTTATCCAACATGGAGAGGGTGGGCCTACAACTAAGTTTCTTGCACTTGATAAATGTCTTCCTCGGCGGGGCTTTCTCCAGGTGCCCTTTATTACCTGATTCAGGATTATTTCTTATCCTTGTAATTAAATTTTGCATTTTGCTGTACACATTTGTTTCTGAGGGCTTGCCAATCCATTTTAGGTAATAGACATTCCATCCGGTCCAGGACCACATGAGATCCAGTATGATGAAGAATGGCTTGCAATAACACGGAAATTCAACAATGTTTTCTCCTTAACTCGGATGCCATTTACAATGCTGTCAGTGCTTAACTGCGTATAACGTCTTTGCTCGTTAGCATGCAAACAGAGTTCTGAAAATATTTTTTTTAAAAAAATAAATCCAGAGTTTTTCAATTGTCTTGTTTTACAGGGATGAACAGGTTGACACTCAAGATGACTTGCAATGGGTTAGGAACAAGTTAAATGCCAGAGGGGCTAAACCTATTGATTTTGTCCAGACTGCTGCATCTTATGATCCTTCTTGTCAAGCATCCAATCCCTCCATAACAGGTGAGCTTTGATATTCACATTCTAACTTCAGAAATATGCCACTTCTCTCAAAAGGAGTTTGTAGGTCAAATTGAGCATTACTCCATTAGTTTTGTGTTACATTGCAGTTCATTTCATTCATTCAGTTGCTTTTGTAGAGAACGTTGTAAACTACTAGAACAACAATTCCAACCATTTGCTAGCAGTCTATCTGATTACTCTTAAAAAAAGGGTTTTTACTTTCTTTTTTTTTTTTGCAAGGAAAACATGTTTTACTTAAACCTGACCCAACTTGGATTCACATTTCTTGTCGATCTTCTGAATGTGTTTTAAGCTGTTCTCCTGTGTTACACAGTTCATTGTAGGAATCCACAAACTGAGTCTTTTCTGCAGCTTCTAAATCTCCCGTATCTTCTGGACTCATCAAATTCTTATGGTATGTAATTTTTCTAATAAATGCTTATGGTTATACTTGACTATCATTTCTGCTTATATACAACTCTGGATTTGGTAAGCGTGGAGCCTAGAACTGGCAAAACTTTGGCTATGGTGTATGTACAATGGTTGGTTCAGCAGGGTTTAAGCTAGTTATGTTTTTATATGAATTATGAATATTTCTTTAAGCAGACAATCGATACTCTGACTTATCCTTACTCAAACATAATTGTTCTGTTATTGATTATACATTGGTTATACTTAGCGAAAAATATGATATATACCACCCAAATCTTTCTCATATATATGCTTAGTGGTAGTTCCTGAGCATTCAACCTTTTGTTGACAGGGGTTAGTAGAAATGAGTCAAGCTCCCAGACAGGACAAGCACTTGATAGTGACGACATAGAGCTCCCTGACGATGAAGATGATCCGGCGGACGATGATGACTGAAGAACTGAAAGCCTGAAAGTACATGGCATTAGCTCTGTAGGGAACGGAACGAGCTAGGGAAACTGACCTGTAGACAGTACAATTTACGCTGCTTACGTGTAGAAGAATTGAATGGGATGTGTAGACGAATGATCTTTCATTGTGTGTATTAACTTGATTTGCAGGCTAGGTGATGAATCCTTTTTTTTTTTTGAACCAGAAAACTCATTATTCATGATCCGAGGTATCTTCGGCAACCAAACGACGGGTACAAACTGGAATATCAACCAGTACTGGTTCAGACTGAACTGAGCAAACAGATCCAAGCTGAGCTAACACATGAGCTACTCTGTTACATTCTCTAGGCATATGGCTAACCTGAAAAACTGACAAATTTTGTCTCCAACAACTGTTTCAGTTCCAAGTGCCAAGCCGCCACAATTGGAGAGATCATAATTGGTAGAAATCACTGCTTGTTTTACCATTGCGCGTCAGTTTCCAGGTAAACTCTCCCAATAGGCCAATACCTAGCTGTACCGCCGCCTCAACTCCATACTCGCACGTTATGGGTTCAGCCTGAAAGGCACTAGAAACATGCCGGAGACATCCTCTGCCTACTTGTACAATGTCTCCTGGGAAACTCTCCCAATACCTAGCTATGCCCAATCCACCCGCTTTTGCTTGTGAAAATGCCCCATCACAGTTTAACTTCAAAGAATCATTCGTGTTGCTATCCATGGGGTCCCTTATGTTTTTGCACTGACAACACAAGTACATAACACACCTCACATCAACAACCACCACACATGCTGAGGCCTTACAGAGTTGCATAAATTATATATAAATATTATGCTACCTCATTCCAAAATACTCCCCCCATCCTAAAATAAACACAGTCATAAGTTTCTGTGTCCAATTTTAATCGTCCGTCTTATTTCATTTTTTTTAAAAAAAACTAAAAAACATAAGTCACGCATAAAATGCTATTCATGTTTTATAATCTAATAACAATAAAAATACTAATCATAAAAAAAATTAAATAAGACTGATGATCAAAATTGAACACGAAAACTCAGGGCTGCGTTTATTTTGGAACGGAGCTAATGTATAGCAACCTATCTCATCCTATCCATCTTAAAACCATGAATTTGAACATCCTATGTTGCTATACATTTTGGTACGAACTACGAAGGGAGCAGTATTTCAGAAATTCAGCTTTGTAGTAGGAGTTGGGGGAAAAAATTCCCTTGTTCTCGAGAAGATACTCCCTCCGTAAAAAAAAAAAAATCAATCCTATGAACAACCTGAACACACATCCAGGATTGTATATGACTTATGTCGGACAGTCAAAAGCCCAACTGTAATTAGTAAATGCATGGCCCATCGACTTGGCCCACTACACCACCACAGCGCCGTCACGGAGGAGAGGAGAGGAGAGGGAGACGGAGACGAGGGATTTTTTTTCTTTCCCAAGAAATTTCCAAAACCCCAAACCCTTGTTCCCTTCCCCGTCTCCGGTTGGCGCGGCGCGGGGCAATGGCGGCGGAGGACAACCCGGGGTACGCCCTGCGCGCGACGCTGGCGGGCCACCGCCGCGCCGTGTCCGCCGTCAAGTTCTCCCCCGACGGCCGCCTCCTCGCGTCGGCCTCCGCCGACAAGCTCCTCCGCGTCTGGAGCACCTCCGACCTCGCCAGCCCCGTCGCCGAGCTCGCGGGCCACGGCGAGGGCGTCTCCGACCTCGCCTTCTCCCCCGACGGCCGCCTCATCGCCTCCGCCTCCGACGACCGCACCGTCCGCATCTGGGACCTCGGCGACGGCGGCGGCGGCGGCGGCGGCGGCGAGCCCCGCCTCATGAAGACGCTCTCCGGCCACACCAACTACGCCTTCTGCCTCGCCTTCAGCCCCCACGGCAACATGCTCGCCTCGGGCTCCTTCGACGAGACCGTCCGCGTCTGGGAGGTCAGGTCCGGGAGGTGCCTCCGCGTGCTCCCTGCGCACTCCGAGCCCGTCACCTCCGTCGACTTCAACCGCGACGGCGCCATGATCGTCTCCGGGAGCTACGACGGCCTCTGCCGCATTTGGGACTCCGCCACCGGCCACTGCATCAAGACCCTCATCGACGACGAGAGCCCGCCGGTCTCCTTCGCCAAGTTCTCGCCCAATGGGAAGTTCGTGCTTGCCGCCACTCTTGATAGCAAGCTGGTGAGTTTCTTCAAAACTTCTCCCTCAACTTGCAGCAATGCAGCATATGTGGAAATTTGTATTTGCTAGTATGTGATTTTGTGAATGTATTTATTATGTGCTTCGTTAGAATGCGAAACTTAAAACTATTAGCTGTCCTAGGATTGCAATGCTAGAGCAATTATTTCATCGTAGATCGCAGCCAGTGCGGTACATGGTGCCAGAGTAGATTGACTGGAAACTAAGGGCTTAGTGTTGCCAGGTTGTCCAGTGAGGATGCTGCCAATGAAGGCATTATGGGGGTAATTATAGGATCTGTGTTTACTAGTTATGTCAGCTACCCTTGTTGGTGTCATGTCTGTATTGTTGGAGGTGAAGATGGTAATTCTCATCTTAATCTCCTTTTCTGTTGCAAGGCTTATGGAGTATGCTTAAATTTTAATTTTCGGAAATTAAGATTATATCCATTTGCAAGGTGGCCCAAGCTTAATTAGCAATTACAGGGACAATGTGTTCACATGTTGGAACTCTGGGGTTGATAGCGGTGTGCAATTGGCGAATTTTCAAAGTGAGTGTGCTGTAATTGAAGACCTTAGGTGTATTTATATGAATCATCGTTCACTATTTACACTGGGTGTACCTTTGTCGGTGCTGACTTGGTGGGGTTCAAGATGATACTTCTGATCTTATCAATGCTTTTCTGTCGAACCACTTATGCTTTCTGCTAATATCAGTCACATATTGATGCCCAACATTTAAACCCCTTTATGCTATGTCTAGCCTGGGAAATATATGATGCTTTTTGGGATCCCTTAGGTACCACCGAGGTTATCTGAACTTGAGACCATGTTGCCATGTTGAATCCCTACATCCTAGCTCTTGGAAAAAGTTGGTCATATGGAAATGAAATGTCCTTGTGAACTTGTAATGCTACAAGGACATCTCTCAAGAAGGAGACAGAAGGATTAACTCAATAGATTTAAGTATTTAACAGCCTCACTGCCACAACATGCACACATGATCTTGCAGTTGTGTAGATGCATGTTATCTCTATATAGTTACTATACTTGCCATGCTTTAGTAGACTAGTGTGTCGTTAGAGAAAATATGACTTTTCAGTAGTTTTTCAAACTGCAATGTTGTTAGTGTTGTGTGCAATCTTGAGGTAGTGCTAGTGAACCTGGAAACCTAGAAATCCACTTGCTTTCGCAACTAAACAATTTTGTGCTGGTTAAGGAAGCGCTAGATGGGTTTATCTTTAGGAATATAGTTTCGCTGGTTGTTTTCAGAGTAAGGTGAGAACTGGGGCATTAATGAGTAGCTTATTAAAGTTTTTCTGTGTTTGAAACAAGCAATTAATAAGAGGCCAAATGAAAATATTTAGTTAACTTGAGGGATCATAAAGCTCAGGAGGGGTATTTTTTATATATTGAATTATAAGTGTGTACAATAACTATATGGGTTTCCTCATGACGGATGACGTAGAGATTGGGTATTGAGCTCTTACCATGACGTTAGGATGGCCAAAATGCTTCAGTATGCAATAGACAAATTGTGATTATTTTATCTAATCAATATTTTGTTCTGTGCTGCAATATTGTAAAAGACAAGTATAAATGCTTGCTTGGTACATTCTCAAATTCTGACACTTATACAGGTACTTTGATAATATTAGCCATCTTACAGTTACGGTGAATTGGAATTATTGTTATTCTTATGTACCACTGTGTATCTATACTGAAACATGGTTGTTTCTTAAATACGATGTTCAACATCTTCCTGCATAATAAAAGAAAATATTTCATGTAGTTAATTTTTTTTCTGGTGCTTATTTATTTGGGAGCCTCCCTTGAAGATCAAGTCCCAGTGTTTGATCATGGTTGGAGCAATTTATCAGTTATCATACTGAACATATCCAATTATCTATGTCTTTAGTTCCCCGCTTGGTCCACTTGGTGTTTTAATTTGTTAAATGCTTTACAGTATATTAGGTCCTTCCAGCAATCCTATCAACCTCCATCAATGCTGGAGACAATTCTTGGTACCATTTCTCAAGAAATTGGAGTTGGCCTATCAGCAAGGGTACTACACCCAGCAGATCCTAAAAATAATATCTCCACATTGTTTTAAGAGGTTAAATTGTAGTGCCATTTAGCAAAGCACATTGCTCTTGGGCCTTGGCTGTGTACAATTATATCCTATGCGCTACCTAACTCAGCAGAGTCCTTTGTGTACAACTGAATATTATGTAGTGATTCTGTGACAACAATCCCAACCTCACCAAACCATTTTCTGTACAACTGAATGGATTTATGTAGTGCACTGATACTTTAAAGCTGCTGCCTGTTGGAGGTTTTTTTACTTGACATCAGTATTGAATTTTTGGTGTATGTTCAGGTGTCTACAGCCTACTTACGTGTACTTTGTGTCACAAGAGCAGTTCTCACATAATGTTTATTTATGCAGAGGCTCTGGAATTTCTCAGCTGGGAAATTTCTTAAGACATATACTGGCCATGTGAACACAAAATACTGCATTCCAGCAGCATTTTCAATCACCAATGGCAAGTATATTGTCAGTGGCTCGGAGGACAAGTGTGTCTACATATGGGATCTTCAGTCAAGAAAGATTTTGCAGAAATTGGAAGGTCATACTGACACAGTCATTGCAGTGTCATGCCACCCCAATGAAAACATGATTGCATCGGGAGGACTTGACGGCGATAAGACGGTGAAAGTATGGGTCCAAAAGGAGGAAGATCAGATGGAAGTCTAAGTGAGTTCTTATTGTCTCGACTGTCATGTAACCTGACTGATGATGGTTGGTAAGCTACTTAGCTTCCAGACTAATTATAGATTGGTGTGGTGGGGAATGTAATTGGATGCTGCTTTATCAGCTTTTCTCCTGGCTTCGTGGGTTGTGTTCTGGTGAACTCTTAATGAATTGGGATGGTTGTAACAAAGCCTGGACATAAAGAATTCTTAAACTTGATCTGCTCCCTTTTGTAGGTTATTTGCCTCTATGTGAAGTTACTATGCCTATGAAAATGCAAAATCAATTGTTCATAGGAGTATATGTTTTGGGGCTGTTGCCTGTTGGATACTTGGGCTTTGCTTTGCACTTTGAGTAGCCTTAGTTGGGCTTACATATGATATATGATGCTACCATTCTATTTGGCCTGCATGTTGACTAGCATGCACCGTAAGATTTACAGTTGTTTGACTAGCATTGGGAATTGGGCTGAACCATCTCTCTGAATAATGGAGCAGCTATTCCCTAAAAGAACTAAAAGAACAATGGGCCATCTGCTGGGAATCTGGGATTGGGCATACCTGAGCACTTTCTGTTAAACAGATGTATAATGTTTTCTAAATATATGAATTTACATTATTATCCTGCCTTTGGCTACTTGTTTGGTGAATAATCAGGTTTTTCCTCATTTTTCCTGGCAGGTTGAAGGACTTCCTTCTACATTGATCTTGCCATCTTACCATGCTCAGACATCAGTACATCACGTAGCCCTCAGACAAAGCAACACTTCGTCCACTTCATATAATGGTAGTAAAAAAGACATAAAAATATGCTGCCTTCCTATTACTAACTCGGTAAACTGTCTTGCCGTGTCTTCCTTTGCCAGCTTGCGGATTAGCAGTGTCATGAATTCAGATAAGCTGTGTATGGTTGTTCCTGAACACCAACAGTGCTGCTTTCTTTTCTGTGCCATTTCATTGGGCACCTAGGAATGAACGACTCGTCTCCATTATTTTTTGAGACATTGAAGCATGGATTGGCCTTATTATTGACAGCAACTGGGTAATGGTCCATAGGGGGTAAGGGAGGCATGGGGCCTTTCAGATAACTAGATAAGATGTGATCTGTCCATCTCCCTCTAGCAAAAGCTGTCCTTTCTGCCCCTTCAAAAAATATTTTCTGCTTTGCATCTAGACTTACACACTGGAAAGCTATTGGTCACCTTCAAATCTCTTTCATCCTGCCTTTGCATTGCCATCTTTCATTTGGTCCCTATTCTATTTCCTTCTCTCTTTTTTTGAGCTGTTTCCTTTGGTCACTCGTGACTCTGCCCTGCATGTGTTATCTGGTGATCTCCCGAGTAAACAACAACGTGGAAAACGTTGTTGAGCATGGTCATAGAACTGGCCTCCAGTAAAGTTGAGATTGTTTGCTCTGAATACTCACCTCTCCTGGTTTCAGTTCAATATATGTGTAGTACTTCCTCCGTTTCATAATGTAAGACTTTCTAGCATTGCCCACATTTATATAGATGTTAATGAATCTAGGCATATATATGTGTCTAGATTCATTAACTTCTAAATGAATATGAACAATGCTAGAAAGTCTTACAATCTGAAACGGAGGGAGTAAGTAGCAACCTGAGTACAAGAAAAACACGATATGGGACTACTGCTATACTGAATTATTGACATCCTTATACCCTCGATCAACATTCATTATACATCGAGGTCTCTCTCTGGCCAACTTTGTTAGGTCAATCCTTTATTGTTTGGCATTAGTTTCTATAACATTGCCTTGTAGGAGGTCTAATCATGGGTCCTTCGTGCTGCTGTGTTTTTATGCTGCTGTCCGCATGTGATTATTGTTGACGTGCCATTCTTGTAGATCAGGGATCCAGCCATATATTGCTGAGGCATTCTTGGGTTTGTCGTGGTGCTTATTGGTGGTGCTAATTGCTTTCCATGTCTTTTAAGCATACTTTTTGTTCTTGCAAGCAACGGCGATTGGCATTTCTTAGCTAACCATGCATGTGCTACATACAAAACTAATGGAGTAATCAGCACTGCCAACCCTTTGTTACTTAAAAATACCGATTACTAGTTATCTATCACCATGTGCCACAATGTTATGGACTCGTGCGCATCCATTGGATGTTTATTTATTTATTTATTTATCTGTGTTTCCCAGTTTATTTGATCTGCCACATCTCGCAGGTTTTTTTAAAGAAGAATCCAGCTTGAATATTTCATTGATTTAGAGATCTAGTATAGTTTTTGTTGGTAAATAGAAGAAAACATGTCTTCAATAGCGATTAAAAAAAACACTAGAATACTTTAGCTATTATACTGATATGTTTCTCCAAAAATTTGCATTAAACGATTTCTTTTCGCAAATTCTCATACAATGAGGGGTCAATACAAAATTATGAAGGATCTCCCAAGGTTTCGGTAAAATTCCTTTTTCTTTTCCCAATAAGCTCTTGGCCATATGCATGGGAATCAACTGGCAGTACATAAGTACTTTTTTTAATGATCTCAAAAAGGACAGTTCCAATGCAAGTACAGTAGTAAGTTGCTTAAAGCATCTCTGATGCTTCACTTGCTGTCCTAGCTTGCAACTTGGGCACTTGCATAGTTGCATTGAGGGGCATATTCATGAGATATACTACCACTGTTTCTATTTGCCTCTGAAGAAGCCTGAACAGACAACAACACACGGTCATCTGGATCTGTTTCAGAGGAAAGGTATACAAGGCCTCATGACATTTGATCATGAAATGAACAGCATAGTTGGCCTTCTCACTTTGGAATCTGCACAGCTCTCCATTGTCAATTTGCTGTTTCAGAACAGTTTGATCTTTGATGTCCTAGCCGATAGGCCGATGCGTGAAGCCCAGGTTATAGTCCACTAATGCACACTGCACGGCATCATCTAGCATTATAATATTGTAATCAGGGGCATTATAAATTTATAATATCCTCTAGTGGCGAGCTATCAGATGTGAAATGCAGTGTTCCTTTCCCCTTTAGCTGCATTAGACCTATTGACATCCTCCAAGTAGGCTCCAACTGGACCGGCCATATCTATTTCATAATTTCAGTAATGTATTAGTGATACTGATGTCACTCAACTAGTGTAAATTGCCATGTTGATTTTAACTCAGTAATTTTGGGCATGCTTGATGAAAGGCATTGCTACAGTTTCGCTTACAAGCCAATTTTATACTTGGCCACAGCAACGGAAAATAATTTTAGGGTCTATTATCGGTCGAAAAGACGAGGTAGAGTTTTTTTTTCTTAAATTAAAAATTGATAGAAGCCGTAGCTCGAGAACGGTCTTGTGGAGGAATAATTAATTATTTGCCACTCTTACAAGTGGTGATAAAGAATTTATCACTGTACCCACATGTCATAGACACATGATAACCCACATGTCATAGACAACGAATGGTAAATAATTAATTGCCACATCTTAAAAGTGGCAAAAAGTTAAATATCCTGGACGGGTTGACCCAGTCGGAGATCAACATGGAGGCATCGCTGGCGGTGGGATTCGAGCTAGAGAGGAATGAGGACGAGGCCAAGAGAAAGGAAAGAGGATGAAAGAAGAGATAGATAGAAGATGAGTGCAATTTTTCGTAACTCATAAGAAATACTTATGTTAGTGGTGCCACTTAGATTATAAACAAACAACAGTGGTTTTGTTACAAATACATGAATAGTAATGATTCATTTGAAAATCAGTATAATTTTAATGGCATGGATCCAATTGATTCGTGAGCACGGATCACAAAGATGTATGGGTTTGCACTGTGCAACGAGGAACAAAGGATCTCATCTTTACACTTATGCTTATTAGTCAAAATTTAAATTTTCAACCTTAAATTTAAAGCTGATTTTGGGTTAATTTTTCATCGAAGTTTATTTTTCAGCATTTTCTTTTATATCGCTAAGAATACATATATAAAAGTTTTATTTCCAAAATTATTTTTCGTTTAGAATTATCTCATTTGGCTTATTTCATAAATAAGCGAAACTATGGGGCCGAAAGTAAACAACCCGGGCATCTGCATCTAACCCATCACGATCCACGCAGTACTACTCCTACATCACTCGCATATTACATCTCGTAGGCCCCGTGTGACGTTCTGTATCACATTGATTGTTCGTGGGCTGCCCTTGACTGAGGATGCCAAATTGCCAACCAAGCCAGCAGCAGCTACAGTGACCCATCCTGTCGTGGTCATGCGCCCTGTTCCCCGGTTTTCATCACAGGGCACAGCGTTAGCAGTAACGGACTGAGACAGTACAGGTCCCTCGGCTGACTAATTCGGCCTGGGTGGTAGAGCTCTAACTTCTAAATTTAACTTTAGATTCAGGAGTTAGATCTGTAGTGAAGTTAGACGTCCCAGTTTCGCTCTCATTTTAAGTAGAGCTGAAATTGTTTGGCTGAGCTCTAGCTATAGGAGAGGTGAAGCTGAAGCTAAAACTAGAACTGGAGCTGTGCCAAACAAGCACTTCCTTCGTCTTTAAATAAATGATACTTCAATTAATTATATGTTATACGTATATTATCAGTTTTCTACCTTTTCTTCTTTCGACTCCTCTCAAATACTCACTCGTTTGAATTGCATATGATGAACGGACTGTGAATCTCAACTACATGGTTGCAGGGTAAAATTGTGATACAGGTCCTACCGCGAATCATCGAGAGAGATTTATCATATGAACTTAACATCATGTTTCGTGTAGTATTTAAATGTGTCTAGTTCTGAAGGAGCTCTTACAATTAATCTAATCGTACTCAAGACGCTGTGCAAGACTAGTCTATCTCCATCCACGGTATAGCAAAGCTTAATTAAGGCCTTAAAATATTCAGAGTACGAGCTTCTTACTGCCTGTAACAATGGTTTCCTGCTAATGGATGAGCACGAGCACGAAACTGACTTTATGTATAACCATTATTTGTGGACACAAATGAATAACTTAAATATTAGAAAGTTGAGAATTTATATTTGAAAAGGTTTTCTAAGTAATGCTGCTGAAAAAAGTTTTCTGAGAAATCATATGGGCTTGAGAAATGTGCTCATGACAGCCCGTAATTCGCAAACCAAAAATATTCTTATATTAACATTAATTCTTTCAGTTTCGTAAAGGAGAAAATTGACATTATGCCATTGTTAGAAACAGGGTTCTCGCCAAAATGCCATCCTCAATTAGGATTATATGAAATGCTACTCTCAAATAGGAACAGCACGGTAGAATGCTATTTCTTCTCAACTTAATGAACTTTGCAATGTTTTTCTTGCTGAGCTGACCAAAATACCCATATGGATCCCATCTCTTCATATCTGACCAGTCGCTCTACAGCTGCCACCACTGCCGGCCCAGACAGCTCCTCATCTTTATCCTCCATTGTGCCGTCCATCTCCCATTTTTCTTGTGCTTGCTTGGGATCGCATTCCATGCACAAAGTAGGTGGCTAACGGTTGATGGCGTGGTGGCTCTTATCCTAGCTGCGCCAGGAAAAGAAGCCCTTGACAATGGCAAAGAATTCCAAGTAGCATGCATACATGGAGTCGGTTGTTGGCGACACGCCAATGGTGTGTAGGAGGAAGGAGAGACCGGAGCCGGGGAATCCACAGATATAGTTCCGTTGCTTGGCCAGTAGGCTTGCATGACATCATCGGCCGTTATGCCGTCCACAGATGGTTCCTGCTCTCAGCTACTCCCTCCGTCCAAAAAAAAAACCTAGACAAGGATGGGACACTTCATAGTACAATAAATCTGGACTAGGTTGTATTATAAAGTGTCCCATCCGTGTCTAGGTTGACTTTTATTTTAGAACGGAGGGAGTATTTCTTTTCATTCCCGATAGTACTTCCGTTAAGAGAAAGGCATCAACAGACAATTAACCAATATCGGATTCAGGATGCCATATCGGCTGACTGGCCGGCACACTCGTCGTCATGAGCCACCGGGCCATCTTCCCTAACCTGCACTGGCATCGAAGCCGATAGGTTGGACAGACTCCTTGCTCACA